TGTTTCCTTCTAAATCATTGACAAAAACAAACAAGATTCCAGTGAAAATGCATATATATATATATATATATATATATATATATATAATATTCATAGTTAATTGCCTTAACTGTTAGGAGAAAATATCCTTTAATTTCTTTGGGTAGAAGGCAAAGTATTGCAAAAGTACAGTCTCATAACTTAAACTCTCAAGCTTTCGAAGATCTATGTCTTCATCGTTTGGAGCTGGAAACAATTACTGACAATAGCAAAACTAACAATTAGGAGAAACATAGTTACTTACTAAGTCGGCGAGATTGTTGCTAAAATCGTTTTTAAACAACAGTGATTCGTCGACTATATGTTTCCTTCACTAACTATTTACTTCTAAAACAATTTATTTTCTCAACAACATTTTAGATACAATCTAGTCGTAAAAAATACATACTATAACTAATAGAACATCTGAACAAATAAACAATGTGCGAATAAATGCGCGAAGTTAACAAAGCAACAATTGAAAGATTACCATTGGGTAACATCACCTTTATTTTTTATTACGACTGAAATTCTTTGGGGCATAGTGTTAACCAAGTTTTGGCAAAAATTTGGTGTAAAACAATCCCATATTTCTTGAAGCTTTTGTCTCAGTTCGGTGATTGTACGAGCAGGATGTTGTCGTAGAACCTTTTTCATCTCGTGCCACAAAGTTTCAATAGGTGACAGATCTGGACTGCTAGAAACCCATTTCAAAAGTGGTACAATATTTTCTTCCATCCATTTTATAGCCTTTTTTGAGGTATGGCATGCTGCACCATCTTGCTGAAACACACAATCTTGGCCGGATGTCAAACATTCTTCCATCACTGGTAAAAGCGATTTTTCTAAAATTGCCAAATACATATTTGTTTGTATCCACTTTTCCATCAATAAAATGAAGTTTTCCTACTCCGTTTGATGACATACTGTCCCAGACCATAATGGATGCTGGAAATTTCACTTTTCTCTTCAGACAGTCAACATGGAATGCTTAATTTTTTTTTGCAAATACCTCTACTGCGGCTGTCACCAACACAAACTTCGAATCGGGCCTCAGCACTCCATTGTATTGCAGATCATTGTTGAGGTGTCCATTGTCTATGTTCTTTAGCCCATCTAAGCCGATTTTTCTTTTGCAGTGGAGTTAATAGTGGCTTTTCTTTGGCCTATAAACAAGTTGTGCAACTTTAGGGTTTCTACTTCTCTTTTTATAAGAAAACTTACCTTGCAAGTGCTAAATCCCATTGTGGGCCTCTCTATGAGTTGTGGACCTCGAAATTGTCCTTCCAACAGCGTCACTCCACAGAGCACTTAATTGTAAATAATTGGCACGCCTGTTTTTCACGATTATTCTTCTTAATGCTCTTCGGTCGGCATTTGTGATATTACTTTTTTTCACATATCGTGGCTTAATATTAATTGAACCAGTTACGTTATATCTTCTAACAATATTTCTCACACTGTACCGCGATAAGTCTAACAAAGTTGCAATTTATGAGTTTGATTTCCCTGAATTCAAAAATTTAATTATCAGTAACCGAATTTTCTCACTAATAACCTTTCCTCTACCCATTTTGAAAACCTTAACTACCCAAAACTATTTTAAACATAGTCTGGCAGCTGTGAATAATAAAAACAATTGTCATGGCTTTTATTTTTCACAGCCACCTATGCGTTATAGACTTATTTTGCATTGAAATGAAAATAGGTTGATATGCTGTAATTGCAACATGTGCTATTTTTATGCTGCAAATTTGATTAGGGAGTGATAAAGTTGGTGTTTTCTACTATATATTATCAAAATATTCATTGTTAATATTTTAAACCTATAACACCCTGCTACTTTTTTATTATTTGTGTTTGATAAGAAAAAAAAGAAGATATCAATAGTTGGGCTAACTGAAGTGGGACGGGGCTCGTAGTTGCTTTCAAACCGTAGGAATGAATTATGTCAATAAAACCTGATGATTTCCTATTTGTCACCAACAGATTTATATTTATTTTTTTCATTACTGATTTTATCTAGAATTATTTGAAGTTTCTCAAAAAACGCGTCGATTTGACCGTCACATGGACGATATATAGAAACGACGACCAAGACGAGCTCTTTCAAGGTTATTTCAAGGGCTGCACATTCAAATAAGTTTGAGCAGCCTGATGATGGACCTATAAAAATGTTTAACTATAAGCTGTCATTTTCTCGGGATATTGTACCAAATCGTATGTATCGTATGCGTGACCTCCCATCCATTCCGAAAAGTATCGCACTGCAATTTTAGGTAGATGTTATTTCATATACAGTGACAAACGTATTTTTTTCTATATGAGTATAAATAAATATTTTTTTGCACTGCTTTAAAGCCCTTTGATGTGTGGATGCACCCTGATGTGCTACGCATTGTCTTTCAACAAAAAACTGTGGATTCCTCCTTTCACCACGTCGCCTTCTAACCCTGGCACGACCATCGTGCATGCCTAAACAAAATCGAGACTCGTCACTAAAGACAATACTGTTCCATTCCTGATCCCAGAGTGACCGTTGTCTGCACCACTCAAGGCGATTACGTCGGTGTTCTCGAGTTAAAGGGAGGACCCAGTGTGGCCGGTATGAAAACAAGCCAAAACTTCTCATTCGTCGGTAAACACTTCACATGCCAATAGGTCTTCCGTGTTCTGCAAACCATTCATTTGCAATGGACCTGGTAGTGGAGAAACGGTCCCTTAAGGCCAATAATCTTAGGCAGCGATCTTCACGGTATGTTGTTCTACGGCGGCGTCCAGTGCCCCTTGCTCATTGCGTACGGCCTTCTCGAAGCCATGCCTGACAACACCTAATCACAGTGTCTACACTTCGTTGCACTCTAACTGCAATTGCCCGAAAAGAAAGTCCAGCTTCCCGAAGTCCCACTATACGGCCCCTATCAAACTCACTAAGTTGACGAAATCGTACAGGTCTCCGTACTCTAGGCATCGTAACCGATCGTAAAGGATGTCGAGAACCAAAATCCGTCAACTTTGATTCTTTACTGCGGCTGAAATATTCATTTTTAGAGCGTTAGTGAATTAAAAAAAGCAGTATAAAAACCGGAATGTCCAACTGATAAGGCTGAAAATTTGTTCACTTGTTATTTACAGTAAGATAAATACATTCACCAACTTTTATTAAAATAAAACCATTTAAACTGGGTGTTCGGATTTATATGTCACTTAGTATATATATATATATATAAAATAAGTTATGATATAGGGATACAAAATATAAGATATCTTCATTTATTTATGACTTAGGGTTAGGTTTTTTTTCCAAACAAATTTCGTATTTTCGGGGGTATGTATTTTCATCTAATATGATTAGACTAAGAATGTGTTTTGAAATTTGCGGACAAAGATGAATAATGTTAATTACTGCGTATCGCTTTCCGGATACCGATTCATAGTGAAACTGACAAAGCTTCTTGACAAAGTATGTCGTGATCAAAACAAGCTAGTTATTACAGCAGACTATAATCCAAAGTTTAGCACCGTCCAAAGCCAAGCACATGAAGTCGTCAACTGATATGTCGGCCTCTGGTATATGAGTATCGGCAGATTATTCAGCTGTATTCGCAAAAATCATATATCGGTCGACATCTAATCTGTAGGTTCATTTGACGTCTGCTTACCTCAAACTTCCTGCTATAATTCATTTTAAATTGAAGACTATTAGTCAGCATTCGATAATGGTATATCTGTTTTGTTCTCTGTCTTTGCTTCAATACTTAGAAGTCATTTTATTGGTTAATATTTATATAACAAGCGATGAAGAAATGGGTTCTAATAACTTCCAAGTAAAGTAATAAAAGTTTTGTTTATGTAGATTTATAAGTAGGGCAACAATATGACTCTCTTGTGAAATGCTTACTATGTTTTATTAATTCCAATATTTGCATCGATCTTGGATTAGAAAATCGACAAACAATTGAGTACATTATATTGTAAATGATAGTAACAAAATGCAAGTGCTTGTGACTCGTGACATAACCAAAGTATTTATAGCACTAATAAATATTTATTTATACTCATATAGAGAAAAATAAGTTTGTCACTGTATATGAAATTACATCTCCGTAAAATTGCAGTGCGATACTTTTCTGAATGGATGGGAGGTCACGCATACGATACATAAGATTTGGTACAATATCCCGAAAAATTGACAGCTTGTAGTTAAATATTTTTATAGGTCCATCATCTGACTGCTCGAACTCATAAGTAGTGGTTTCAATCTGTTAAGCCTAGAGCCATTATCACTTTCTACCCAAATAAACCTATGGCTCCAACAGCAGTTTATATTGATGTTCGATAACCGATAAAATATGGTTGGGTATCTTTTGGCATATTTTTGGCTGACATGCCAATCAAAAAAGCTAGATTTAGACGTATGTGTTGTAACCTACCTATTTGTTGTCCATTTCTATCACCCTTCATTATGCAAACTGCTTTAAAACCATTGGTTTATTGGAGGTAAGTATAGTCAGTGACAGAACTGTTACACCCAGAAAAAATAATAGTTCCTTCAACTATTTTTTTGCAACTTAATGACTATATTTAAAGCATGCTGTGGCAACAACGTCAACGTCTTATCTTTGTTTTTTCATTTACTAGTGTTAAGCATAACAAAATGCCTCGACTTCGAAGACGTCCAGATTATCACCATGTTAGCGACTTTGACAGTGGTAGAATTATTGCCTATCGAGATGGTGGTTTGTCCTATCGCGAAATTGGTCGCAGTGTTAATTGTACTGCAATGACGGTGTGTGTCGTGTGTGGAAAGAAGAAGGTAGAGGAACACGAAGAAGGCCAACTGGTCCAACGAGGCGTACCACAGAGCCTCAAGGTAGGCGCTTCAGACAACTGGCCCTACGAGACCCTTTTGGTTTGGAGAAGAAGGTAGACCTGTTACTGTCTGTCACTCTATCGCCGCATTCGAGCCTTTAGACTGTTTTTATTCCATCCACGGTTAGTGCTTCCTCTGACTGCGGACCGCTGTCAATGTTTGAACTGGAGCAGAAAACGGCAACACTGGGAGAGCCTCAAGGTAGGCGCTTCAAACAACTAGCCTACGAGATCGTTTTGCTACTACGCGTCAGATCGCTGACTAATAGTTTGGAGAAAAAGGTAGACCTGTTACTATGCGTACCCTCTATCGCCGCATTTGAGTCTTTGGACTTTTTTCATACCGTCCACGGTTAGTGCTACCTCTGACTACGGACCACTGTCGTCAACGTTTGAACTGGAGCAGAGAACGGCAGCATTGGAAGGCAGAATGGCATAATCTCATCTTCATCAACTGATCACGATTCTGCCTAGGTACGCATGTTGGTGTAGAAGGGTAAGACGTACACAGGACTGTTGGAGCAATGGTTTGGGGGGCTATTGCCAATGATAGACGATCTCACTCCTTCTCTTTGATCAGGGCAATATGACTGTTACGCGGAACAAACCACTTTACTGCCGTATCTAAAGCGCCGTCCACACGTACTTTTTCAGCAAGACAACGCATGTCCCCATATTGCTCGGCGTACTACGGATTTTCTTCAAGAAGCAGGCGTTAATGTTTGGCCGGGGCCACCCCGTTCACCGGACATAAATCCTTTCGGACATGTGTGGGATATGATGGGGAGGAGACTATCCACTTTGCACCATCCGCCACTGACTCTGTCACAGCTAATCCTCAAACTTCGAGTTGCTTGGAATCAGGTGCCATAAGCAGACGTCGATCACCCCATTTGGTCGATATCTAGACGTATACCGAAGATGATTTCGATAGGCGAGTTGAGTTTTGTGAACAAATGACTGCAGCGATTACTGATAATACCATTCATGTAAAGAATATCTGCTTCAGTGATGAATGCAGATTTTATCTAAATGGATTTGTTAATAAGCATAACTGCAGGTATTTGAGCAATGAATATCCTCATGCTCTTGTAGAAGGGCATACCCAGTACCCCCAAAAAAATAATGTATGGGCAGGCATTTTAGGAAACAAAGTGATTGGGCCATCGTTTATTAGTGGACATTTGAATGGAGACATTTGTTTGGATATGTTGGAAAATACCATCAATCCGCTTATCACTGAAACCATTGAAAACCAAATCGAAGAGGATGGAAACTCTATATTTGATGAGGCTGAAATATATGTCAGCAAGGCGGCGCTCCTCCTCACTATGTTCTTCCGGTTCGGCAATGGCTAGACGACGAGTTTCCAGATAAATGGATAGGGCGAAGTGGGCTTATACAATGACCTGCTAGATCTCCATATTTGACGCCATTAGACTTGGTGTCATTTGGAATCTATTGCGTTCACTCCCCAGCCTGAAAGTTTTGATGAACTTCGTCAACGCATCATCAAAAACTGCCATGATATCCCACATGTTTTTAAAACGTCCGTCAGGAATTTGAGCATCGCCTATATCATTGTTTGGCCAATAACGGGCAACATTTTGAACACTTATTGAAATAAAAAGTGATATTTCCGTGTGATTTTTATATTTTTATAAATAATTTTTTTTCTAATTTCCTTGAAAACGAATCAACCGACTTTAAAAAATCAAACGTCAAAATAAAGGACTTCGAAAGCCTTCAAATAAGCTATACATATGTGAGTTACTAGTGTATGTTTGATCTAGAAATGACGACTTTCAGGTATTGAATTACCGTAACGTTTATAAGACCAGACATTCGTCAGTCTTAATGATACCAACTCAAAAGTTGTCCTCTACAGAGAAAAGCACCAAGCACATGATAAAACGGGTATTCAATAGACTGCCACGAACTTTAAGAAGTTTATCGTTTGGTATATTCAAGAAAAAGTCAACTACCCGAAAAACATACTATTCCCTCATTGAATATCTTAACGATGACAATATATGCTCTTAAATGCACATGGAAGTTAACCATGAGTTTCATTTTATCGATCCAGTCAGTTATTTATATTCTATTCTTCTTCTTCACATGTTAACCTCTTACTTTTTAATTCGTTGTATTTTGTTATTTTTCACTATATGTGTTTTGTATAAACGTGATCTGTGTGTATGTTTTTATTGGATTCTAAGAACATTTATGTTTCATTGATGTAATTTTTATTTTTTACTTGCATGAATACAGGGTTTCGCATCGGAAACGAAACAGATCCATTTACTGGCAGCTCAGTTTTTTTTGAAAAACGCTCAGACTCATCGATTTTTTTTGCTAGGGAGACACAAGTTTCTCAAAAAATCACGTTAGCACGTGCAGCCCCCTAAGCGGGGGTGACACCACCCCCAAAATATTAAATGGAAAGGGGGGTCGACTGATACCTTGTTTTAAAGGTCTTTCAATTCCCTTTATAATGATATAAAATTAATGTACTTCAGTTCAGTAGTTTTGAAGATTTATTGACTTAAAGCTTAAAGTAGACTTTAATAGGCACATCAGATTAAAGCTTAAATAAAAATAATACATCAGCATTAGTGGAGATCAATACATTTGGCAGCAAAGTAATTTAAAAATGAAGAATGAACTGATCCGTTAGGCAAGTAAATGTTGAAAATGGCCATCATGACTCTCCATGCAATAATAAAGATTTTGCTCAAAACGTTGCCGCACATTTTGCAATATTTGAGGAGTAATTTCTTTCACAATTCTTTGTCGCAGGTCTTCTAATGATGTTTTCTGAGTAGCATAGATTTTGCTTTTTAAATGACCCCACATAATGAAATCCAAAGGTGATAAATCTGGCGATCTTGGGGGCCATTCAACGGCACCTCTTCTACCAATCCATCGATCTGGAAACGTCTGATCTAAATATTGTCGAACACGTAATGCGTAATGTGGTGGGGCACCATCCTGTTGGAACATCAACCTATTCGCAATGTACCGCCGATCATTCTGATTTTCAATTATGGCTGTTAATGCAGGATCTATGGCGTCTTCCAGTAATTCCCAATACATTTCACCGGTCAAATTTCCAGGTAAGAAAAAAGGACCAACTAAATGATCGCCAAAAATACCAGCACAAACATTTCATTTTTGTGGCTGCTGATAAATTCTGGGATTAGAATCGGACCAATATCGGCAGTTATGACGATTTACTACGCCATTTAAGAAAAATGAACATGCCATGGTTAATTGATGTAATACAGCGTTACAAGTTATTTTAGCAACAAAGTTTGGTCAAATCAATCGCAAACTATGTACTAAATTTCTATTTAAAATAAGTACGAGATATTTCCTTATCTTTCTTCAAGAAATAACTTTTTTGGCACCAAAAAAAACGCTCCAATAGCTATTTTCAACAACAAAATGATAAACAAACTATAGGCGTAGTGAAGAAAAGCATTTACTTATTAAGTAAATTCTTTTAGTCAATTTTTTTCTGAAAGTAGTACAAACTAATCTGATGTAAATAAATCTTCAAAACTACTGAATTGAAGCTCATGTATTTCACATCATTATAAAGGGAATTGAAAGACCTTTAAAATAAGGTATCACTCGACCCCCCTTTCCATTTAAGATCTTAGGGTTGGTGTCACCCCCGCCCAGGGGGCCGCACGTGTTAACGTGATTTTTTGCCGAACTTGTGTCCCCGTCGAAAACAAAATCCATGGGTCTGAGCGTTTTTCCAAAAAAAAAACTGGGCTGCCAGTAAATGCGTCTGTTTCGTTTTCGATGCGCCACCCTGTACGTTTTTGGACGTATTCAATGTCATTTTTCATTGACCGATTGATTAAAAAATATCTATCTAATGTGTGGTAAGTGCTAAGTCAGTCTACTTGACATGATTTCTTTTGTTGCAGATTAATGACGCGGTGGCTACTCGCATTCGCCGCTCTAGCGGCGGCGTTAGCAGAAGCTACACCACCGACTCCAAAAGCCCCTTTACTCCTACCTACCAAGATCAAGAGCTGCATCGAGCACTGCAAATGCAAGCTCAACAAGCTGGCCGTCATTGAGTGTGATAGACCGATCATCCTGAACTCCACGACATTCAGGTACATTAACAAACCCCAGACGTCAACTGTCAGCTTCGAGAACGTCATCATTGACCAGATCGAAGAAGATGCTTTCAGTGACTTCCCCAACTTAGGTGACATCTTAATTTTGAACTCGCATATCGGTTCCATCGACGCCAAGGCATTTAACAATGTGAAGAGGGTCAAGTTTGCAAGGTGCAGGTTTGAAGATCGGCCAGACTTGGTTTCAGAGAAGATGGAGGAGCTTCACTTTGGTGAATGCCAGTTGGAAGAGATTCCAAAGCTGAACGGGCTGTTGAAACTTACGTTTTTGAATCTCACAGGAAACTACATCAAGGATATCGATATCGATGCCTTCGCTGAGCTATTTGATCTTGAAGAGTTGTATCTGTCTAACAATGAGATCTTTAAGATACCGCCCACGCTCTTTATCAACAACGACAACTTGGCTGGATTGTACCTAGACAATAACCAACTCCGCCATTTCTATCTGAACACGTCAGAGAACTTGGAAACTCTGTCTTTGAAAAATTGTTCTTTAGAGTTATTTGACGAGAAATCTGCTCAGCGCCTCTCAGATTTGAACGACCTCAATCTGAGTCACAACAAACTCAAAACGATTACTGGAAGAACTATGTCGTTCATGAAAGAATTGGCAATAATAAATTTGTCTCATAACAAGCTGTCGAAATTGGATGATGATATTTTCGCTTATAACACAAACCTTATGAAAATTGTTCTGGATGGCAACAATTTCGAAGCGCTACCCAATTTCTACCTTCACAATGGAGATTTCATCGCATATTCATTCTCCTGCAAGCACTGTGGTCTGAAGACTCTCCCAGCAAGTGCTTTCAAGCACATGAAGAGCATGACAAGCTTGGAGCTGTCTCACAACAAGCTCATGAATGTAGATAACTCTTTCCAGAACATAACAAGCTTGAAACTGCTTGACATCTCTTACAACAATGTTGTATATTTTGCTCCTTACACTTTCGTGAACAACAAGAATCTAGAATACTTGAACATCGCTGGTAATCCATTGATGACTCTTAACCCAGAAGTGTTCGCAGTAATGCCCGTACTTAAGTTGATCAACGCAAGAAATGCAACACTGAGCAAACTCTGGTCGAACTACAACAAGTCTCTGAAAGATCTACAGAAGCTTCTGCTCAGCGACAACCGTTTGACTTCTCTGAGCATAGATGACTTCAGGATCACACCCTCACTGACTGCTATCGACTTGTTCAACAATCCTTTGGTCTTCACAGAAAAGCTGTGCAAGGTTCTGAATTGGTTGGATTTAAAAGGAGTCAATCCTATTGAGAAGTTCAGGAGCTACGAATTTCCATTCGACGATAGCTATGATATAATCATGTCTTGGACACAACTGCACAATAACAATTGTCAAGTACAGTCAACGACAACCGTAACGACTATTCCCATCGATGATGAAGACAATGATGACGACGATGATGATACAACTGATCGTTACGATGAAGCTTATTACGACGACGAAGATGATATTGTTGAAGAAGAGGTTAAGAAATTCGCTGAAAGCAACTTTACCAGAGCTTCTTACATCCTGTCCATAACATCAGCGTTTGTTTTGAGTGCTGTAGTCGTGTTAACAGTCGCAGTAACTCTTACCTTGTGCATTCTGAAGAGGAACAGCAACTTCAACATGCATGAAGCAAACCTTCCGAGGGTGAAGATTCCATTGTGGAACACCACTCCAGGTCAGAAGAAGCATAGTGGTTCTGTGTACCGCCCATTGTCAGAAGACCTTTCTGGTCCAAAAACTCCAAAATTGAGCCGTTACGAGTTCACAGCTACACCCACAGTACACTCTTCAAACCCTTGAGAGCACTTTAAAAACTTTGGAAGCTTGCATAGCTGTGGTAAGACTCATTAGAGTACCAGTGGTTTAACCGAAAAGATTTTGAAAAAGAAAAGTTTTGAGATGATTCGGTGAACTTAAACGTACCGTGTTTATTAGTATTAGTACTTGTTTATATTATTAATGTTATTGCGCTTATAGTTTAGTCGTAAGGGATAGTAGGATCATTTTTCCACTTCGAATTGCCATAGATCACTAATATATGAAATTACAGTTTTAATAAACATCATATTCCACAAGTGTTACTTAAGATCAACTACAGAGTATTTTAATGTACATTACGATAACTAATTTTAGAAAATATTCCGAGATTATTTTCCGCATATACCCTGAATAAACATTTAAATTTTAATAACAGCATTTATTTTTTTAAAACTTGAATGTAAGAACTTGAAAGAGAGATTGCACACAAAAATCTCTTTGGCCGATTTTGTAGCAATTTATGAAAATATAGGTATCTATAATCTTTTCGATTTAGAATCTTTTGAGAAATGTGAAGTTCACAAAAATGCCGGCGGTACACCTACTAAAAATTATAATCCAAATTCAGTGACTAATTCGTCAATACTGTTTTTTTAATACTACATAGACTGTATGTATGTACTTTAATGAATCAATTAAGTTTTTAGCAATGTAAATAGGAAGAAACGCAAAAACTTACACACCTCAGCTTTTATCTTATTTGTCACTTTTTCGAATTTTGATTTTTGCTCATACAGGGTGGTGAAAAACGCAAATAGTGGCAATATGGAACTAACCCACTGTTTATCTCTGTTGTTTCCATGGATGATGTGATTTTCGTCCTTAATTTTGGTGTGTTGTTCTGTTAAAAGATTAATAACTCAAAATCTAGTGATTTTGTCTGAATCAAACCTTATACCAAAAGAAGCTTATAAAAAAGTGAATCCAAACTTGCACAAATATACAGGGTGATGCATTTGAAATTTTTGAGAAAAAGTACAATTCACGTACCCTGTATGAGCAAAAATCAAAATTCTAAAAAGTGACAAATAACATAAAAGTTTTTTTGATACAAAATTCAGCACTCCAAATTTCAAAATGGCGGAATGACGGGTTGCCGAAGTGGACGGTTTTTCTGGACAAAACACCTTACATCTCAGTAGCTAATTACCAAAACCCCATAGTATGTTATATCGATCTTCTTCTTTTGAATTGGTTTATCCAAATACGCAATAAAATTTGATGCATTCCATTTAAAAAATCACAACTTTGATATGTATAATTGCCAATATTTTAGAAATGTGCCTTCAAATGTCATGTATAACAGGCCATAAGTAGATTTCTCCAAAATGTATTTGTTTATGAGTAATATTCCGTCCACACATAGATGGGCCACCCTGTATATATAATAATGTCACATACACCAAAGTGGCGGTATAATTTAAAAAAATTTAAATTTTCTAAGAGTGGTGGCAGTTTGGATTATTACTATATGAAGCAGTACGTAAGCACGCTTATGAAAAAGCTGACAATGTGTTCCTTATCAGATACGTGACTCCTCCATATGCTTGAAGTTTGCCCTCTCGTTAGACAAAAAAGGTGGCATTAAACTCTGTAAACAGAATTACTCGATCACAATGATATTGTTTTTGCACTGGCGCTTCAAATTTACTGCATCTATTGTGTACGTGATTCACACTGTTCAGCTTGTAATATCGTTTATTGTCCAAGCAGTTAAGCAAAATTATTTCAGAATGTTTCTATAAACAAAGATAAGTATGCGTTCTTTCAACACTAACCTTATCATGTTATTGTTGCATTGATTCCAGCAGAGCCAGCGAAAAAAATCGTGGGAACGCAAATCGGTCCGTGGGTCATTCCAAAAACCATGAGTCCATTGTTTTTTCAACTTTTTTTACCAAAAACGCATCATTTAAGGAAGATGCATATTCTGGTTGCACACCTCGTGAGTCAGTAAATTCCTTTCCATCAAATAATACCTCGTAATCGACGTTCATTACAAGTCCGCGACTTAGGTGTTTTCACTTGAAAACTAAATTTTATAGGATGCTCGCTTGTCCTATGTATCTATATTACATGTGACATGTTAATAAGACAATGTGTAAGTGAAATCTCCAATAGCAAGCAAGCTCCGATCCAGGGGGTGGTCATGACCTGGACGAATCTAGTTTTACCACTAACATTTATTCGAATCTCTTTGATAGATTTATTGAAATAAAGACTTTTTGCAAATATGTAATGGATACAAACGGGTTAAAAAATCACCACCCTTTGCAACCCTGATCAATTTGTAAGCGCATCGATGATGGCGTGGGAATAAGAGCGTTTTGTAAATGTGGTTGCCTATACGTTCGGCTTTACGCAAATACAAATAAAATAGTGATATTCTGAATTTCTCGACTTGGGGGCTCTGCATGTCCATTATTGGAAATTGAGTCTCATGTATTTAGTGATTAAGGTAGTGATTTGAAAATTCAAGCATTCGGACACGACTATAAGGAAAAACCGCCTTTAACGTTCTGAGAATTTGATAAAAATACTTTTTGACCGAAAAATTCAGACAAAAGCGGTTTCATTTCATTGAAAGGAGATGGTAAGAAGCATCATACTTTTGAACCGTAAGAGCTAAACACAAACATTAACATATTTAATAACTCATATGTTTGACACTTTTTGTTTGTAACTTAGCATGATGGTCTTGATTTAGCTTAGTCATATACAGAGTGTTTCCCAAACATGGGGCAAGAATCACTGGCGGATTTAGCGGGGGCTCGGGGGGCGCCCCCCCCCCCTCCAGACGTCTGACATTTGCTTTTGCAATCTAACACCATTGTGACATTTGCTTTTGCAATCTATCACCATTGTGTTACTTTCTGTCATGGCTATATCTATTGATATTTTTATCACCTGCTGATATAATAGACGTGCTTGATTGTCAGCATTTGCACCATTTGCTTGGTTTGTTTAATGGGCAGTTCAGAGTCCTAATCCTTAAGCTTATTACATACTAGTAGACCCCGTTGCGCAATTTGTCTATAGGCAGTCTGGAGACGGTCTCAAGACACGATCTATAGATGGTCTACAGACATCCTTCTTTGTCTTGTCTAGCGTCCATACGATAATGTGAATTTTTTGGTCTCATGTTCGTTTTCGCAAACAAAGACATTGTTTTGTGTGGAATGGACTGGGATATGTCTTGGGGTCCCTCAGAATGTTTTATTTATTTTTTTGTCGGTTAACAGGGCAATGAAGTTTTTTAAGTTTGAATCTTTAATATTATTATACTAGTTAATTATAAATGCCACGTGCTTATTTTGTTCTCATATAATGAAATAATGGTTTTCTGAGGATTTCTGAGCAATTTCCATGATTTTTCTCAAGCTGGCTTTGACCAGATAAGGAGCAATAATAGGATAAATTCTAGAAGTTTCACTGAGGTTAAAAAATGACCAGCCCCAAATATCTTTTGCGCCCCCCCCCCCCCTCTAGACGAAATCCTGAATCCGCCCCTGGCAAGAATTCAATGGGTGTATTTTTTGAACTATTCTGAAACTATTGTATTTGATCCTCTCGATGTGCGGAACACCTCTTAATTCGGGAGAAACAGACCCCTGAAGAAGACGTCGTTGGAAATAGATTTTTGTTAAATAATTTTTTAATGCTTTTACATCCCGTAACAGAGAAAATGGCGCCCTCAAGATATGCGTGTCACTTAATAGGGAATCCAAAAGTCCACCTTTATTTTGTTTTTTTAAAAACTCGTCAGTTTTGTGTTAAAACTCAGGCGTCCAACGAAAACTACTAACTCATTTAGTTCGCCAGAGACGGACTAGCGATAAGCGCAATATATTGTTAATTTTTTACACCTTTGTATAATAACTTGAAAATAATTTTTTTGGAAATTGGAACGTGCCTCGATAGTGTTGACTGTTCCATCTACATGAATTTAATGCGGTCATTTTAAGAAACTTATTGATGTTTGATTTCGATAATATCAACTGTTTTTAAGAAAAAAATTCGGCGGCTTTTCAGGTCGCTGATGACGGACCTGTTATGAGAATTACCAGACTCTTAAAACGGTTCCATAATTTATAAAACTGTACCAAAATAATGAAAGGGTGTTTAACTCCACTGGTTAAGTAACTTGCCAGTTAGACTGTTTATAATGTCTCCAGAGAAATTCAAATTGGGAGGATGTTTTTGCAAAGATAGGTCCATTTCATCAAGAATTATGAAAGCACAAAAGAAAATGTACGGGAGGGGACGACAATCTGATGAAAAAAGATGTCTTCTCTATCTCTCTGTATCTTTTGAAGACTATCCTACGTTGTGAGTATATTCGCGCTCCCCCGTTAGGCCAATCTCACAATGACGGAAAAAATGTCCAACTCGAATATTTTTTTTTTCATGATCACGTCTATTATATTAACACGAATCAAGAAGTTTCTGGGCGGTACCCAGGTGCAATTTGTTTAAACAACGTTTTTAAAGAAATTGCAGAAAATTGATACATTCGCTCGGGACAAAGTCGTTTTTTGGATCATTCTGAACAAAAAGGTCCTAAGTAACTGTTTTCTAAAGTTGACACTTTTTGAGTTATCTAGGATTTAAAGTCTGAAAAGTCCAAAACGGCCTATATTCAAATCTCAAAACTACGGGTAAAAATAGGAGTTTGAGTCTTCTGGAAGCTGTCGCCAGAGTATTTTAGGCTCAGTTTATTCTAAAGTATTGTTAATAATGCGCAATGGGCACCCACGTGCCACCCTTTTATACGGACGCCGCGTGAACTAAACCTAAAATACCCTTCAGTGTCTTATAGGGGAGGATTTGAACTTTAATCTAGACACTTGGCAAACAACCACCAATTCATAGTCAATTTACCTGATAGTATTCTAACGTTACCTCGATAATTACTGGTTGCCTGCCATTTAGGCTTTTTATCAGCAATGAAATATGGGAGCCAACAAAATAGCTCAACAAATTTGATTTTTTTCCAATTGTATGAAACATTCCCAAAACTGATAAAGGGTACTTGAGATATGAAACCAAATGTTGCTATCACAAACACGCGGTTGTCCAAGCCAATAGGAGAAGAAGCCGCCAACAGATCAGCAAGTATTGTAATTACGAAATGTTTCGTAATTGCGATATTCGTACAAATATTTGTCCCTGGACTGTGTATTTCTTGGTCTAGACTACAGGTCTGAATGGTTTATTGGACCTATCAACATGTTTATTAGATGTTGCATGACACACGAAAAAACATGTCACCCATTTCTGTCGGTCTGTCTGACCGGCAATTTTTGGCCTCTCTGCAACTCGGTAAGTACCAATTTGATTTTAAATAAACTTTGCATCAAAGTTCCAGCGTCGAAAAAGCATTGTAGGTTTTGAAAATCGGTCTAGTTGCAGCCATGTTATAAGCAGATCGTTCCCAAATTCAATATTTCAAACTTCTAGTCAGTTTAAGGCATAGTCAAAATTCCTTGTAGGCAACTCAAGAATTTTGAGATCAGGCATGTTTCATATTTCACCAATCAAAGATAACGCATACAATGTCGGTATATCTGAGACATTACATGGATTTACTGAGTGCGAGGGAAGTAGTCAATCTACTTGACATTTTTTGGAACTTAATTCACATATCACTTCAATGGCGTTTGTGCGCTAATTCACTATAGCTCAGAAAGTAATATTTATTAACTTTGAAAAACATTTGACAGTAGTTGCAACTATTGCGAAAATGAAAAATATTACTCTTTTTAAGAATCGGTCCAGTTAGGAGAAAGTAACGGCGAAAAAATTAATTGGCTCTCCAGTTATACAGAAGATCGCTTGGATTTTGTGAAAATTTTGACAAAAAGTTACTATTATACCATAGACGGAAAAGCAATGTAGCTTTCGAAATTGATGAGTCAATCAATGCCGCGGTATTGAATGAGCTGTGAGAGACAAAACATATATGGAAAATGGCGTCAAGTAGGTTGACACTGCACTATTTATGCAACGCTGTCATCACTTCATAAAGGACAAAGTTTAGCTTATATATAGTGTATATATATATATGTATATATATATATATAAATAAATAAAATGGGCAAAATCCGCAAAAAGAAGGAAAGTGGATTCAAGCGCAGAAAATAGGATAGGTATCCCGAGCGATACGTATCCCTGCTAGTTGGCTTCATCAGGCCCGAAATGAATGCACAAATGCAACTACAAAAGTAGATACACATGCCCATACATCCGGATACGGGTGTAACTGAGGAAACGAAGATGGAGAGGAAAAAATGACACACGAGATCCACAACAAGAGCCAACCTACACATTGTAGTATGATAAGATTAGAAGACCTCGAATTTTCAAGACGATATCTAACCATAACCACGCGGCCGGTTACAGCCACATGATGTGGTACTTCAAGCCTAACGGATCTAGAAAGAGAAGATAATCATGCAGAGAAAGGTATATAACAAAAAATATTAAAATAATGGCCAAATCCGCAAAAAGAAAGAAAGTGTGTCATTTTTCTTCTCTCCATCTTCGTTTCCTCAAGTTACACCCGTAACCGGATGTATGGACATGTGTACCTACTTTTGTAGTTGCACATGTGCATTCATTTCGGGCCTGATGAAGCCAATCAACAGAAATACGTATCGCTCGGGTTACCTATCCATTTTCTGCTCGAATCCAGTTTCCTTTTTTTTGCAGATTTTGTCCATTATTATCCTATTGTTTGTTATATACCGTAGTAGTTTGAAAGGTTCATCAAAATCCGAGCAGTACTGCCAAAATTACAGAGGGGCCAAGGTTTATCGGACAGACAGGCTGATGGGAATAAGTGACGTGGTTTTTCGTGATGTACAGCATATCTCATTTCGAAATTTTTCGCGGTTACAATACTCCCTCGCTAGTGGCGGTAGTGTTGTGATCATGTGCTTGTATAAAAATAAATTATCGACAATTGATGAATTGTAAACAGAAACGCCAAAATTGCGAACATTTAGCATTTATGGACGATCAAATACTAAAATAAAAAGAGATCCAATTGCTTAAAATTTTAGTTATTTTTAGCCCAAAAGAACCCATTATGGACCCTCATTCTTTAAACCCAACAAATTCCACCGGAATTCCAAAAAATTGACGCCCTGAATCTTGAAAACCAAAGTCCCTTTAGGAATCGTCATTGAAGTTTGGATACTTTATTATTATCCTGTATATTGATAAGTTGCTATGGAATGCAGCCTGCATAGAAAGTCGTACTTTGACCGGGGCAACAAGTACCACCGATACACAGTTGTGGCATCTGGTAAACAAAACAAAAATAAGATATAGCCTTGTCTGCAGTTGGAAGTTTTCTACATCATGCAAAATAGATAAGTTAATCAGTTTATTTTGTTATGAATGCAGAATACTCATAGTGTGAAGCAAATACATTCGGATACATTTTTAGGTTAGTTGTTAGCTGAAATGGCATCGAGAAAAAGGATCCTAGATTTACTCCAGGTTGTGGAACAAAACTCGTAAGTATGAGAATATTTCCCAAAATATTTGCATACTTTGTTTACAATACCTCGCGCATTATGATAGTTTTGGTTTTTGACAATCATAATACGAGTATGTTTATATCAGTTTTTTTAAACAATATTTCGTTAATCATTCAAAAATAATTTTGCCTTAAATGGTTTGAATCATTGAATTTTCTCATAATCTGTTTAGCGTAACAATTTATTTCAAAATTTCATATACAAACATAGTATCTTCGTCTCCTTTAGCGACCAAAATACTTGCCTGATCTCAATCCTACAAATATTTATATGATACAATAAAAAATAAACTGGGTGCATTCAGTCTTTGTAATTTTAAGTGATACCTTCAATTACATCAATAATTATCATGAACATAAGACATATTTGCAACATGTTTCATGTTTTAGGTGTAAGTGTCCAGCACATTCTCATACAGGTAAAGTACATGCCAGTTCTACAAGTTCTCCCTCCAAGGACTATGCCTTTGAGGTAAGTGAGCTGTATAGCAACGAAAGAGAATCGAAAAAAATCGAAGATCAAAGAATCAGTGAAAAATTGTTCGTGTTAAAAAAACGAAGGGGAATATTGAAGAGATATTTAACATCCACGATAGCAAATGCCTTTTTGTTTCATTTTTACTTGCTGTGCCATCGATTTTTTGTGAAATTTGGAAAATGATAGCAGGCTGCTCTCTATGTTTGAATCTCGGTAGTGACGTTGAGCAAAAAACAAAAGAGTTCATGTCGTTCATATATTTTGCATCTTTTTGAAAATTTTTGGTGACAGACAAAAATTATTTTCCATGACGAAATTGTTAATCTTTGTTTATCGTCATTTTTCACGTTTCTGATCAGTTTAGGGCATCAGAATATTTTTTTGGGGTTCATATATTAATGAGTCACTGTACTTGGCACTGTTTTATGTTTGCGTCTTCCAGATGGCTTCATCCACCGTAAGATATGGCGTTGGAGTAACAAGGGAAGTTGGTATGGATTTGGTAAATTTAGGTGCAAAGAACGTTTGCGTAGTTACAGATCCTCACATAGCAAAGTTACCGCCCCTCAAAAATACCGTCGATGCCCTTACCAAAAATAATGTGAAGTTTGATGTCTATGATAAATCTAGAGTGGAACCCACTGAAGAAAGGTAAGAATATAACAAAAATGAATGCATTACTTTTATATGAATTTTATTTCTTTATTTCTGACGCCAAACGAGAAAGCTTTTTTGTGATAAGGAAAGTTTAGAAATCCAGTTATTTTATTTTTTGGATGTAACTTGACATGTATATGACGAAAAACCATGTTAATCATTGTCGTTGTCTTTTTGGTAATTCTTAACTTCTCTATAAGTCACAAAACGCTGCTCGGGTTCTGATGAACTTTTGACACAAAGATGGTACTATGCCTGTTTTCAAATGCCCAATGTCGGAAGAATTCTGCCGAAAACTAAAAAATTTCAGAGCTTCCCCATGCTCTGTTTTGGCATTATTTAACGTATAGGTAGGAGGTGGAACAACAATGGTGTTTAGGTTTTTTTGATATTTTTTTTTAATGCTGAATAGACTCATACCATTACTTGATAAGTACTGAGTCGTCTACTCGACACAAGTTTTTCTATTTTATTGTAATGTTTAGTAGTTCAATTTAATAAGTAACTAAACCGTTTTTGCATATGGTGATAATGAAGTCATGATTCGCATTGCAGCCTTATGGACGCCGTCAGGTTCGCAAAATCGCAAGACTTTGACGCTTTTCTCGCTGTGGGAGGTGGGTCCGCTATGGACACTTGCAAAGCTGCCAATTTATATTCTTGTGACCCAGAAGCAGATTTTCTGGATTATGTGAATCTCCCAATTGGAAAGGGAAAACCTATCACAGTGCCTCTTAAACCCTTAATAGCCAGTAAGTACAATAATAAGCATTTTCAAACAATTTCGTTAATGTAACTCCTGAAGTTTAGCATTTGGTTTTCATGTTGATAGGATTCCATTTTCTGGCCGGATCAGACCACATACATATATGTACTAATTTCTTTTTATTGTACGACCTTTCGGTGACCACGGTGGCCTTTTTCAAGTACTATGATAATCGTACAGTAAACAGAATTCAAAACTTATACATATGTGGTTTGATACACATCGTACTTGTCTTTGGAATGTCTGGTGACGCGCGGTCCAGGATGAAATCAAACTGAACCTTCATAGCATTTTTTTAAATAGTCAGGGTGTTAACTTCTTTGTTCAGCGACTGCCAAATTGTGTTTTCCCAAATTTCTTCGTGCAAGTATTCACTTCCATCCCTGATTTTCTCGATCCACGTGGCTTTCAACCTTTTCGCTAACATGCTACTTAAATTTGAACTCAAAAGAGCACAATATTAATCAGAAACTCCTTCACGGTCGGCTTCATAGAATAAACTGAATCGCGATCGTGTGAACCGTCCACGACCCTTGTTGGTTCGCTTTTCACTCCCCATTCAAGACAAGAGTCACGAGAGATCAAATCGATGCCACGTTGTCGCCTTTTTGTCTCGCGAGGAAGTAGGTTTAGTAATTAAAATATATGAATTGCTATAAGAACCTGCATAGTCCAAGAAGAAGCTAAAATTGTTTTCAAGGTTGAGTCATTTATTTTAACTGCTTGTAGGACTCATACGAAATGAGTTGATATACCAAAAATTACCTATATAAAATATATGAGGATAATTTACCACTCTACCAAAATTAATTGACGATTTATCTAAATTTGATGTGATTTTACAGTACCGACAACATCTGGCACTGGCAGTGAAACCACTGGTGTAACAATCTTCGACTACAAGCCTTTAAAAGCAAAGACAGGGATATCAAATCGAGCCCTGAGGCCGATTTTGGGTATCATAGACCCTTTACATACACTGTCACTACCAGAAAGGGTGATAGCGTATGCGGGCTTCGACGTATTTTGTCATGCCTTGGAATCATTTACGGCTATTCCTTACAATGAAAGGTCACCATGTCCAGAAAACCCACGACTTAGGCCCACATACCAAGGAAGTAACCCCGTTTCCGATGTGTGGGCCAGGTTTGCCCTGAAGATAATCAGAAAATATTTTGAAAGGTTCGTAGATTATGGGTTCAACTATATCTCGATATACCCGACTGGGGTACGTTTGTAAATCACTTAAGGTGGCACGCCCTGTTATCAGCAGTATTCTAAATCCTTTTCATCTGATAATTTCATGGTGCATATACAGATGACTAAAAAACAATGTTTTAATTTTTTTGTGAGAAAATGCATTTTTTGTGGATTTCATTGCGCATTTTTTCTTCAACCGGAACTTGTTAACAAATATAAGTACAGCTCTGAAATTGTGTGTGAATATTCCACTTTTATGGATGAATGAAACAAGTGATTACTTTTATTCTTAACGCTTTTTCATTTCGAAAAATCTTTGCTTCTCTTGAAAACTCAACTTGCTGCGAGACGAAGCGTCAAGAAAATCTTTGATTTTTCTCGAAAAGGAAAAGTGACAAGAACAAAAGTAATCACTCGTTTCATTCTTCCTTCCACAAAAGAGGAATATTCATACACAATTTCAGAGTTGTACTTATATTTGTTAACAAGTTCCGATTGAAGAAAGAATGCACAATAACATCCAAAAAAATACATATTTTGGCAAAAAAAATGAAAAAATTGTTTTTCACACCATGAACGTATCAGATGAAAAGGACTTAGAATACTGCTGCAAACAGGAAGTTGGAAAGAAATCTAAAAAAAGGTACGTTCCACCTTAATGTACTCGTAATACCATAAACAGTAATGATAGATGAAATTTTACACTGGAATAATGTGGACGCTTAAATTATTACACAGTCATGTAATGACACTTGATGGCAGCCTGCTAATTTCTAACTATGTTTTCCGCGACCGTTGAATTATTATAAGAAACGCTATCGAAAAGAACACGTATTTTTCGAATTTGGAGCACTTCTTGATAACCAGATAAGGCAAACAAAGAATGAGTCATGAAAATGACAAGTGACAGCACTCTTATTCCCAAGGTTTTGAGTACGGGAAGGAAAGCGCACTTTTGACGTTCCAGAAGGATTACTTTGTTCTATTTCCGAATGCATGGAATTTCGTACGCTAAGAATATTACCCAGTAGTACAAGGGACGCTTTGTAACAATTTACGAACTCAGCTCTGTGTGTCACATGCCATTTTCATTAGAAAGCTCAGAATGGATAACCCCGAAACAGCTTCTTGCAACCTAAAAAATCAGAAATAAGACATCAGAAGAAAAATATATTGAACACGGTGTACCCCAGGGTTCAGTACTTGCAGTACTACAGTAATTGCTGCATGGAGATAGAATATTTTCCCCAAATATGGAAAGTGTCGTGACTAGCGACTACTTCCTGAAACCAACAGGCAATAACCGTGGCCGCAATAGTAGACTCTTCGGTCTCCTGATCAGTCGCCGTGCGCTGTGCGGGTTCGAATCCCGTCCCAGGAGAAATTTTTCTCTTGGCTATGGATGTTATGATTGTCCGTAGGTGGTAGACGGTCACTGACTGTCGAACGCGGAGGTACCACCCGGCGGATCTCGTAGGTGGAGCCAGAATGTGTGCATGTCGCTTGCACACGTGTTCCCTCGCCAGAGTCCGTGTGGCGTTCCCCCTTTCCCATGTATCCCCCTATAGCCCCACGGTACCCAATGGGTGCTTAGGCCTTAGGCCTTCGTGGTAGTTGAAGTATAAAAAAAATCTGTTAGATCTAAAAATATTTCTGAGGTTCCTGGGAAGGCTGTGATCGTACAGTCGACTGCTAAAAACTGTGTTTTTGATCCTGGTGATAGATATATTGATAGACTATTTTGTAACTTTTATCAGTAAAAATCACATGATGGGCTCTTTTCTTGGAGAACTTCTTTTTAATTAAAATTGTTATTTACTAGTTTTTTCTTTTCTTCCAGAGCTGTGTACAGGCCTGATGATCTCGAAGCAAAATCAGAAATGCTCTTAGCATCAACAATGGCTGGGGTAGGATTTGGCAATGCAGGTGTCCATCTTTGCCATGGACTGTCCTATCCAATATCTGGAAATGTTAAAAGTTTCTTGCCTGATGGATATAGGTGCGTAAAAGATACATCTACATCTAAAATGTGTTTTTCGTTGCCTTTTATTTCCCACGCAATTTGGCGAGCGAGTATTTGCGATACCAAAAAGTTCGCCTCTAATTTGATCTAGACTATACAGGGTGTCGCATCGGAAACTCCAACGATAGATTTCTCGAAAAGTAGACATATGATATTTTTGAAAATCTAGGAGGGGGATGGGGCAACGACAGCTAAAATATTTTCAAGATGGTGGCACTTCCGGTTACAGCGGAAGTTGATGCCAACTTGCTTATTTCAAACTGGATACCCTGTATATTATTCAATATTCGGATTCTACATAAAATTCTAATCACATTTCATGTATAATGTCCTATACCCAAGTCTAACCGTTTTTGACATATTTACAGTAGTAGATTAATTAAATTTAAGTTATTACCAGAATAATTCAATTCAGAGTAAACAGCGTGGGGTGCTTGATATATTGAATGTTACAATCATTCTATTGGCAACTATCTATGAGAGGAGGGTTATGAAAATGTAGTAAAATGCACCCCACGCTTTTTACTCTGAGTTGAATCATTCTGTTAATAACTTAAATTTAATTGATTGTTCGCCCATCTACTACTGTAAATATAAACTCTTTGTGATAAACAACTATTTTTTACTTGTTAGTTCGATATCTATAAAAGCGTGTTTTTTTTCCAAACTATTATTTATGTTTTAGTAAAGACCACCCGATAATACCGCACGGTCTGTCTGTGGTAATGAGTTCGCCTGCAGTCTTCGAATTCACAGCTAGTGCTTGTCCAGAAAAGCACCTAGAAGCTGCGGAGCTGCTTGGAACAGACGTCAGAAACGCTCGCAGAAATGATGCTGGCGCTATTTTGTCCGATACCATGAAGAAGTATATGAACGTCATGCAGATCGAAAATGGACTTTCTGCCCTTGGCTTCAATAAAGACGATATTCCAAGCCTGGTCAAAGGGACGTTGCCACAGGTAACACGGTTAAAAAAATAATTTCCTAGGTAGGCCTTGAAATTATCATATAGTCAATTGTTTCATATACTATACTAAGTGACATATAAATCCGAACACCCAGTTTAAATGGTTTTATTTTAATAAAAGTGAGTGAATGTATTTATCTTACTGTAAATAACAAGTGAAAAAATTTTCAGCCTTATCAGTTGGACATTCCGGTTTTTATACTGCTTTTTTTTAATTCACTAACGCTCTAAAAATGAATATTTCAGCTGCAGTAAAGAATCAACGTTGGCGGATTTTGGTTCTTGACATCCTTTACGATCGGTTACGATGCCTAGAGTACGGAGACCTGTACGATTTCGTCAACTTAGTGAGTTTGATAGGGGCCGTATAGTGGGACTTCGGGAAGCTGGACTTTCTTTTCGGGCAATTGCAGTTAGAATGCAAAGATGTGTAGACACTGTGGTTAGGTGTTGTCAGGCATGGCTTCGAGAAGGCCGTACGCAAAGAGCAAGGGGCACTGGACGCCGCCGTAGAACAACAGACCGTGAAGATCGCCGCCTAAGATTATTGGCCTTAAGGGACCGTTTCTCCACTACCAGGTCCATTGCAAATGAATGGTTTGCAGAACACGGAAGACCTATTGGCATGCGAAGTGTTTCCGACGAATGAGAAGTTTTGGCTTGTTTTCATACCGGCCACACTGGGTCCTCCCTTTAACTCGAGAACACCAACGTAATCGCCTTGAGTGGTGCAGACAACGGTCACTCTGGGATCAGGAATGGAACAGTATTATCTTTAGTGACGAGTCTCGATTTTGTTTAGGCATGCACGGTGGTCGTGCCAGGGTTAGAAGGCGACGTGGTGAAAGGAGGAATCCACAGTTTTTTGTTGAAAGACATGTTCATCACACTGTTGGAGTTATGGTTTGGGGTGCTATAGCTTATGGTTCCAGGTCACCTTCAATCTTCATCAGCGTTATATCCCCGAAGTTCTAGAACCCCATCTTTTACCCTATCTTGACACCCTGGCAGATCCAACTTTCCAACAAGATAATGCCCGACCACATGTTGCAAGAGTCACAATAGACTTCTTTCAACATAATGATGTCACATTGTTACCATGGCCACCAAGATCTCCCGACTTATCCCCAATTGAGCACGTGTGGGATATGATGGGTAGGAGATTGCTCAATTTGCAACGTCCTCCTCAGACTCTAGAAGCACTTCGAGAGGAGTTGGTGGTTGCCTGGAATGAGATACCACAGGAGGACATTGACCACCTGATCAGAAGCATGCCTAGGCGCGTTGGAGAATGCGTAGCACATCAGGGTGCATCCACACATTATTAAAGGTCAAAGGGCTTTAAAGCAGTGCAATCATTTTGAAATTTTTATCATTTACTTATTATGCTTCATTAAGTACTTATACAAAATTTTATTAAAATAAAACCATTTAGACTGGGTGTTCGGATTTATATGTCACTTTGTATATTATAAGATTTATCGTAAAATTATTTTTATTTCTTCCTGACTTTATTCGAGATGGGATTTCAAAATAAATAACATGTTGTTGCAACTTTTTTCCTCTACAAGATGACGTAATCAAATTTTCATTTACAGGTTTCTTCTTTCGACTTCTATCACCAACGTTGTTTTTTCATATTGGAATTTTGTACATTTAAATGGATTTTTCAGCCCTAAATTCAGTGATCTATTTTCTTAATTGGCCACGAGTTTGTTGTTGAATGAAAATTATAAGGAAATAAACAGATTTTATAGAGTTTTAATTTTGATTAAAACAATTACAGTACTTCATATATTGACATTGCCAAACCTCAATTATTTAAAAAAACGAATTTCCTAGGTAGCCCTGGAAATTACCAGATAGTCAATTGTTTCATATACCAGTATAAGATTTATAGCAAAATCGTTTTTATTTTTTTCCTGACTTTATTTGAGATGGGATTTCAAAATAAATAGCATGTTGTTGCCACTTTTTTCCTCTACAAGATGACGTAATCAAATTTTCATTTACAGGTTTTTTTATATTGGAATTTTGTACATTTAAATGGATTTTTCAGTCCTAAATTCAGTGATCTATTTTCTTAATTGGCCACGAGTTTGTTGTTGAATGAAAATTATAAGGAAATAAAAAGATTTTATAGAGTTTTAATTCTGATTAAAACAATTACAATACTTCATATATTGACATTGCCAAACCTCAATTATTTAAAAAAACGAATTTCCTAGGTAGCCCTTGAAATTACCAGATAGTCAATTGTTTCATATACCACCAGTATAAGATTTATCGCAAAATCATTTTCATTTTTTCCTGACTTTATTTGAGATGGGATTTCAAAACAAATAGCATGTTGTTGCCACTTTTTTCCTCTAGAAGATGATGTAATCAAATTTTCAATTACAGGTTTCTTCTTTCGACTTCCATCACCAACGTTGTTTTTTATATTGGAATTTTCTACATTTAAATGGATTTTTCAGTCCTAAATTCAGTGATCTATTTACTTAATTGGCCACGAGTTTGTTGTTGAATGAAAATTATAAGGAAATAAAAAGATTTTATAGAGTTTTAATTCTGATTAAAACAATTACAATACTTCATATATTGACATTGCCAAACCTCAATTATTTAAAAAAACGAATTTCCTAGGTAGCCCTGGAAATTACCAGATAGTCAATTGTTTCATATACCAGTATAAGATTTATCGCAAAATCATTTTTATTTTTTTTCCTGACTTTATTTGAGATGGGATTTCAAAATAAATAGCATGTTGTTGCCACTTTTTTCCTCTACAAGATGACGTAATCAAATTTTCATTTACAGGTTTTTTTATATTGGAATTTTGTACATTTAAATGGATTTTTCAGTCCTAAATTCAGTGATCTATTTTCTTGATTGGCCACGAGTTTTTTTTTAATGAAAATTATAAGAAAATAAAAAGATTTTATATAGTTTTAATTCTGATTAAAGAAATGTACAATATTTCATATATTGACATTGACAAACCTTAATTATTAAAATAAATTTACTAAGTAGGCCTTGAAATTACCAGATAGTCTATTATTTCATATACCAGTATAAGATTTATCACAAAATCATTTTTATTTTTTCCTGACCTTATTTGAGATCAAAATAAATAGCACGTCGTTGTTGCCACTTTTTCTCCTCTACAAGATGACTTAATCAAATTTTCAATTACAGGTTTCTTCTTTCGACTTCCATCACCAATGTTGTTTTTTTATATGGACCCTATATTGAAATTTTGTACATTTAAATGGATTTTTCAGTCCTAAATTCAGTGATGTATTTTCTTAGTTGGCCATGAGTTTGTTGTCGAATGAAAATTATAAGGAAATAAGATTGTATACAGCTTCAATTCTAATTAAAAAAAATTACAATATTTCTAATATTGACACTGAAAAACTTTAATTATTGAAAAAAAACTAATTTCTTAGGTAGGCCTTGAAATCATCAGATAGTCAATTGTTTCATACAAATAAAGTCAGGAAAAATTCAAACAATTTTGGGAACATTCGGTACCGTGATTTTCGAAACTTTCTAAGCGGCATTTTGTTCGTTACCTAAATAAACAACTTTGCCTCCATTTAAGCGACTTCGTATTTTTTACCGTTTCCGAGATTCCAATGCTGAGGATCTTATTTGAGTCATCCGGTAGATCCCTTGTATCCTGTCAAGGGGGCATTTTCTGATTTCTGTTCTAATAATATTGCTTTTGAAGCACCCTGTATAATAAAACTCTGAAATTAATAAATACTTGTCTCTTTTCACCTGATTGATAATATTTTTTAGGAGCGTATTACGAAAATGGCGCCTAAGGAACAATCGGAAGAAGATCTAAGCACCCTGTTTGAAAAATCGATGAAAATTTATTGAAGGTGCTACATAACTGAAGTTAATAATTCGCCAGTGAATATATTGTAGTTTTTTATTTTCTGTACATTCACGTATTTGCAATATAGTCTTCCATAATAATAAATGCTATATTTTTTACTATTAGATCTAGGAATCGAATATATAGCAGATTCTGTTACCTTGATACGATTTATTTCACACCACACCCACATCCACCAGAGGGCCTTGTTTTAAGAGTTGCTACTATACGCTTTACAATTTTAAATAACTACCCCGATAGCACGAAATGTTCATTAAATATTTATTCAATATCTAATAATATTTTATCTTACTTAAATATTTGTTATCTTAAATAAATATTTAGAATATAATGTTTTTATTAAATATTCATTCAATATCTTTTAAATATTTTAAATAAATATTATTTCATACTATTTACTTTTCAATAAGTGGAAAATGTTAAAACTCCATTATTTCGAAAATATTCATTAAATATTTTCGGGCCACGGCGCATATGCGTGTGAGCCCGAGCGACCAATGGCATAATGGCAAACCAACCCAAGCCGACCCGTTTGCCGGCATCCATTTTGCCCGTGAGTTTCTCTATGAGATAGCATCCTTCCTGTGTATCACCAAGTGGTACATTATTTGAGTGTTTTTTTGTTGTTGTGGAAAATGGTAAGTTTTGCGATAATTACATAACTTAATTTATCTTGTGCCAGTTGAGTATAAAGATATTTACAAACCATAAATAACTAGCCTTGAAGTGTAACTGTTATTTGCAATTTGAGGTGGGTGGGTTTATCTGAAAATGGATATGAAAATTATATTCATAACAGCCCAATGTAGCTCAATGAATATAATCGCAACTTGATCGAGATACCTCAAAATGCTTTTTTTAAATATCTATTATTTTTGTAAATCAACTGTAACTATTTTAAAACAGCGACGTTCCAAAATTTTAACAGTCGAAAATACTATATTTTTGTCGCTTGAATTATAACATAAAATCACCAAATAGTTATGACTAAAAAAGTCACATTTCAACAAAATCAATAAGTGGTCTATTTTTAAAAACCTTTTCTTTGAAAGCTAGTCAAAGGATCAAGTTGTGCCCATGGACATTTTTTATCAAGATATCTAAAATATCATACCAACTTTTCTTAAAAATTTACAAAATGTCGAACTCTCATAGGAAGAATGATATTTTTCTAGCAAATTAAATCATTATATCTAGAATGAATTTTCTTTATAAACCCAATTTTATAAAAGCATTCCTACAGGTTTTGCTAAAATAACCAACGAAGAATTTTCTATATACACTGAAAATATGTATTAGATTATTGCTTGAAAATCCATACATATTTGCGAAAAATATTAGATATTTTCAAAATATCAAATTGATATTTAAAAATCTTTCATAATATATTTTCTAAATATTTGGAAAAAGTATCGCAAAAATATATGAATTATATATACTACAAATATTTATAATAAATAATTTATGAATATATAAGTAATATATTCATCAAATATTAAAAAATCTGTCGCTACAAATATTTAACAAACATTTTTTTTAAATATTTATAAATTAATATTTAATGATATCGGGGATCTATGAGACACTATAAGGACTTATTGGATAAATAATATGTCGGACCGTTTCCGAAGGCTAATCCGTCAAATTAAGCTAATACGAATACCTGAGATATATACAGGGTGACTTCGAAGTTGAGTCATTTATTTTAACAGTGAGTAGATCTGATCAAAAGAAATGTTTTTTTCCTTTACCATTTTTCTGGTAAAATTAAAGTAACAAAGTTATAGCCCTTTGGAAGTTTGAGTACCGCCCTGTCTCAATAATAATATTATGTGCTCGTGTTTAGCAACAACGGATATAATTCGCCTTATCGGTTCATCGCATCGGAAACAAAAAAGCGAAAGAATTTGGAACGATGTTTTTACAATTATTTTACTCAGTTGTATACAGTCAGTGTCAGTCGGTAACGCGTGAGTGAATAGTGGTGTCTGTTGAGTGGCTCAAACGAAATCAAAAATGGCACATGTTTACGAAAATGCTGAACTTGTGGACATGATTCTTATTTACGCGGCATCACGGATTTATGCGGATCGGTTTCCCAATCGAGTGCAACCAACCCCTCGTGCCTTTGTTAATGTAGTACAAAGGGCTCGTGAATCAGGTGACTTAAGACCTCACAGGGGACGGCATGCTGGGGCTCCAAGACCGCACGATCAAATACAGGTCCGCACTGAAATACTTGTCGGGAGGATACTTTATAAAACAAGGAAAATTTTTTTTAAACACACATATTTTGGTTTATCTTCCTTCTACAATCATTATCTGAAAATTAATGACTCAACTTCAAAGTATATATCACCGGCATGCGCTCCCCTATGAGGTCTTAAGTCACCTGATTCACGAGCCCTTTGTACTACATTAACAAAGGCACGAGGGGTTGGTTGCACTCGATTGAGAAACCAATTCGCACAAATCCGTGATGCCGCGGCAGGATTTTGTAAAGACTCCCCCCCCCGTAAATAAGAATCATGTCCACAAGTTGAGCATTTTCGTAAACATGTGCCATTTTTCATTTCGTTTGAGCTACGCAACAAACACCACTATTCACTCACGCGCTACCGAATGACGAAAAACATCGTGATAAACGTTTCAAATTCTTTCGCTTTTTTGTTTCCGATGCGATGAACCGATATATCCGTTGTTGCCAAACACGAGCACATAATATTATTATTGAGACAAGGCGGTACTCAAACTTCTAAAGGGCTATAACTTTGTTACTTTAATTTTACCAGAAAAATGTTAAAGGAAAAAACATTTCTTTTGATCAGATCTACTCACTGTTAAAATAAATGACTCAACTTCGAAGTATATATATAAAATGTGTTATTTTTTATAAAAATTGTTCGTATTCCGCCCAATAGATGGCGTGGTCGAAACAGTTACTGTCCCAAGCTTCATTTTAAATGACTACCTGGAACTATAAATTCCAAGCCAGTGTTGTTGATTCTCGTTACTTTAGAGTATTCGTTACTCTTCTACAAAGTAATAATTTATTGTATTCGTTACTTTGACTACTATGAGTAGTATGAGTATAACGGTTTGGCAATGTGCGTCGTGTTAGGTTCGGTTCAGAGAGCGGGGGGTTGCTGTCTATCCGCGAAACGTGTGATTTTTCCGGAATATTATAACTCCAAAAAACTCTCCAACTAAAAATCTCTCAAATTTGGAAGACAATCCCTCAAGATGGCAACCTTGTCAAAGCGTCACTGGTACTCCAGGCGTTAATTTTCTCCTGGTATATTGGCTCCTTGTTTTGTAACTTCCAAGATGGCGGCTGGGGGCAGTGATCGAAGATCAATGAAGCTTGATTTTTCTGAGTGATAAATAACAATAACACAGATTACAGCAGAGTTGACTAACAAAGGAAAAAGGTTAAGTTTTATACTATTAGGAATCTGTTCGGATCGGCCAAAGCACAGCGTTGCCAGATGAGTCGGACCGAATTTCCTCAGAAAGCACGAATATCCCTCAGAATTGCTAGTTTAAAAAAACCAAATCACAGTTAATTTATGGAAAAAGTTAGGTTCGGTTCAAAGAGCCGAGGGTTGCTGTCTATCCGCGAAACGTGTGATTTTACCCGGAATATTATAACACCAAAAAATTATCCAAGTAAAAATGTCTCAAATTTGGAAGACAATCCCTCAAGATGGCAACCCTGTCAAAACATTACTGGTACTGCAGGCGTCAATTTTCTCCTGGTATATTGGCTCCTTGTTTTGTAACTTTGATGACATGAGTAAATTGACAGGTTTGTAGGCTTGATACATACGGCTCTTTTTTCTGAGCTCGCTCATTTCGTTCATCTCTCTTCAGTCAGTCGTTCGTTCGGAGTCGTTCATTTGAACGATACGATTACCGGCCGGCCTCAAAACTCTCGAAACTCACGAGAGTATTGCGTACCTATAGTAACGACTCACTGAGTCAGAGTCAGAGGATATACATCATACTATGAAAATGAAATGAAGGGTTGCCGATGTTATTGTATTTATTTAAGTATTAATATTTTTGGTTGAAACTGAATGTAACGCATGAATACTGTCTTAAAAAAAGAACGGATATGTGGTCCGGTTTTAAGAAATTACCGAATTTTTGATCAAAATGCAATTTTTGCTATCAAATCCCATCATTTCAACGTACAATTTAATGAGACATTTCAAAACAACGCACAACCGGGTTCCCTAGACAGTGTTTGTACTGTTTACGACGTTGTTAGTTCACAGTTCAGTTGCTGCATGCTGCAGACACGCTTTGCACAATTGAACGAGTCATACGTAACAAAAGAGTCGTTCAATCATCGCTCACTTAGATGAGTCGTTCATTTTGAACGTCTGGTTCGCGAATGACACATAACTACAGGTTTGGTTTGGTTAACTTATTAATGACGCCACCTATATGTTCCGTAGGTAAAACCGCGGTACGAAAAGCTAATTACTAATAAAAAACATCACAATTAGTTTTCTCGACTACCCTTACGTCTGCATTAAGTTGAGCGGAGCCCTATTCTATCGTATGCTGTGAAACGTCGAAATCGCGAAAAATGCATTAGAGCGCCAATGTTCCCTTGGAAATCAAATTCTAGTACGCTTATGTTTACCCGAAAGCCATGCGCATCTATGGAAAAAATCAAAATGAATGGAGGTTCACAGAGACAGAGTGTATGTGGCACGATACATTTATTCCATTCTGTACCTCTTCGTGTGTGAACTTACTGATTCTCATTGTTATTTAATAACTAAAACACAATTCTATTTCATTTTATATAACCGATTGTCGCATACATAATATACTGAATACATTGATTATTTCAACTCGCATGTGTATTCCTATTCTTACACTATATGTGAATAAGTAAACAATTTTTATCACCGAGAATGCTGTCCTGCTGATAAAAACGATATATTTTAAAATTATTGCTTAATTGTCTCATACAAATGCGATATCTGACCCTAAAAGAATGTCTTCAAAATTAGGGCGCTTACTGGTGGTGAACGTCAAACGAATTTTCAAAAGGCAGTACCATGTAAGTTACACAAAATCCTTTAGATTACCAATATTTACTTAAATTTCTTGCATTTGCAAATGTTTGTTCTTGGGAAAAGTATATATTAATTTTTTCAGAAAAATGAGTTTGTTCGCGTGGTAGAGGTGGGTCCAAGAGATGGATTGCAAAATGAACCAGTGAATGTACCTACAGATGTAAAGGTCGAATTTATCAACAAGTTGAGTGGAACCGGTGTGCCATCTGTAGAAGTTACCAGGTAGGTTCTATTTTTTTACACGCTTTTATAAACTTGACCTGTATGTATGTATGTAACATAATCTTTGAGCGTAATGAATTAATTTGAAACTTCGCACACGTTTCGGACTTACTCTTTGTTGGGTCGGGCATTCGGCACTGCACAACGGAGGCGGATACTTTTTCAATGTGTCAATAATCACGGGGGTTCCTCTACAATCAATTACAGATTTATTGGAGAAGGTTGGAAGAGATATGTACTTTTTAACACGCTTTTATTAGATTGAATTGAATCTTTGAGCATAATTTTCACCATTATCCACAAGTTTGATTAATTTGAATCACACGTATCAAGTACCGATGACAATGCATAATTTGATAACAGTTCTCCATTATCCTTCACCCTCAAAATAAAATTATAATAAAGTTCAAGTTATCAACAGATTAATTCAGTTCCGGGTAAAAAGCGTGGGGTGCATTTTACTACATTTTCATAACTCTCCTCTCATAGATAGTTGCCAATAGAATGATTGTAACATTTAACATAATATATCAAGCACCCAACGCTTTTTACTCTGAATTGAATTATTCTGTTAATAACTTAAATGTTATTATAATTTTATTTTGAGGTCATTAATTATGATTGATTGTTCGACCATCTACTTCTGTTATATAAACTCTTTGGAATTAAAAACTATTTTCTAGTTTTTAGTTCGGTTAGCTATAAAAGCGTGTTTTTTTTTAGTTTTTTTAACTATTATTATCATATGAAGGTACGTCTGAAAAAAAAATTTGGGCCATTCTGTACCTTCAGCTAAAAATGTGACGTGTATACAAGGTTTTACTTCTACAAGTATTTTCCATAAAAAGCTGTAGTTTATGGGCCAGGTACTATAGGAGCTTAAAAACTGAACCTAAATTATAATATTGCATTTTTGCATTTCTTAATTGCTCTTTCATCTTTTATATGGATACTCAAAATACAACCAAAACGACAAAACAAAAGTCAAAAAGTAACGAATGGCGAGTATCCCGCTTTGCTGCAAAAAAAAATATTTCCCTATGAGTATGGGGATATATTCTTTAGGTAAGGACAATTCAGATTCAGTTCTTCCTAAATCTGAATTGGTTTCTTAGGTACACTTATGTATAGGATTCAATTTCTGTGTTTGTGATGACCTTGGCATGGCAGCGACTGTAGGGGGGATTTTTTTTTAATTGAGCAGCTATGTTCAAGAAAAATGTACCTTTAAGAAAAACAAATATTTCAAAATGTAACGTCAAAATATGCATTCAATTTCAATTCGATATTATACGAGGGATGTCTTTTAAGTTTTGCATATGGAAATAAAACAACACGGTAGGTAGTTTTACATGACTTTATTGGTTTTCGAAGTATTCTCCACGAAGATTAATACACATCTGCATGCGCTCGAACCAATTTTCGAAGTACTTATTCCACTCGTTTGCTGGCAGATCCAAAACGGCATTTTTGAATGCGTCAACTGCTTCTTCTGGTGACTGGAACCTTTGACCACGCAGTCTGTTTTTAATTTTCGGGGAAGTAAAGAGATCGGGACTATATGGAGGATGGTCGAATAATTCCACGTTTTCTTCCGTTGAATACTGCCTTATTTTTTGGGCTGTGTGCGAGCTTGCATTGTCTTGGTGGAGGATGATTCTTCTTTCGGGATTGACTTTTCGAAACTCGGTGATGACTTTTGGCAAACAAATGGTGGTATACCAATCCGCAGTAACAGTTATTTGCTCATTAAGAGATTTGTTGCAATATGACCCGCTTTTGACACAAATGTCGCAACCATCTTTTTCGAAACACTTCGAGAACGGATGACTTTTGTTGGATTTTCTTCACCTTGGAACACCCAAACAGCTGACTGTCGTTTATTTTCTGGTTCATAACAGTAAATCCACGATTCATCACCACTAACAATGCTGTACACATTTTTTGAGTTTCCGGAATTGAAACGGTCAAGCGTTTTTTGACACCAATTAAGCCTGGCTATTTTTTGCTCTTCAGTCAACAGATGGTATATCCAACGAGAAACTAATTTTCTTACTCCTAATTCTTCATGTAAAATTTTTTGAATTAAGGTCTTTGAGATCTTCAAGGACGCCTCAATCTCGCGATATGTCACATGTCTATCTTCAATGATGAGTTTGCGCACAGTATCGACGTTTTCCTGGGTGACTGCCGTTTTTGGTGCACCCACCCTGGGATCGTCGCTAAGACTCACCCATCCACGTTTGAATTCTCCATACCAACGGGAAATTGTCTACTGATGTGGCGCTTCGTTGCCGAAAACAGACAGTAACTCAGCAAGGCATTGTTGATGCTATAATTGTCTCTGAAAGTTGTAATAAATTATGGAGCGAAAATGTTCTCCGTTGAGTTCCATTTTTCTAAAGACTTGGTGACACTTAAAAATTCACTGTAGTGAGAACACGTATTGTTCGATCCGCGCGGCCTACTATGTTTCTATATGCAAAACTTAAAAGACATCCCTCGTAGCTATTGAATTTCACAGTGAAAATCATCTGCAGTGGCAGTTATACCCGTATATTTAAAAAAATCAAAAATTTTGAAAATACCCTAATTTCTTGGAAAAGTAAATGAATTTTTGGTTACGCGATTTTATACATCTATGCTAATTATAAAGGTGCGACATTCAGCAGGGGTCAGTTTGGTGATTATTGTTCCTAAATTCTAGCGGAAAATACTTCGACCCACCTCAGGACAAACCAACAAATTCCTTGCCCAAAAACTGACAAATTAGTAGGGAGTCATGTTGACACTCAGTGCAGTTAGCTGAACTTTCCACATAAAATATAAGTTATCAAGTCCGGATAAGCGCGATATCGAATACACTGACAATTATTATCTGTGGATCTGATGCAATAACACACAAAGCGCTAAGTCTGAAATAGGACAGTTCACAGTCTTATCTCACTATTGATACACCCTATACGTAAGAATATGATTGATTGAGAACCTCATTTATAATATTTCATAATAAACAATATACTTTTTCAGCTTTGTCAGTTCAAAATGGGTACCACAAATGGGGGACAATTCAGAAGTATATGCAGGAATAAAGAAACAAGCAAATGTCAGTTACCCAGTATTGATTCCAAATGTGCAGGGGCTTGAATCAGCTGTGAGTACATAAAAGATGTAGGGAATGAAAATGTTTTATCAAAATGTCTTTCATGAAATAAAATAAAATCATACGAGGTATTTCCAACACAAATTCAAAAACTTCAAGGACTATCCTCAAAATACTTTGTTTCGTAATAAGCAGCTGATAAATACGGAATATAGTATTTTTGTCATATTGAACAATCTTATTTTTCACTACGCTCAACCTTCTTGACTGAAAACACAAAAAGTTAAAGATTGGTATAGAACAGTTTTTCCTTTTCGCAGTTAAAATGTGGAGTAAAAGAAATCGCAGTATTCACCTCTGCTTCAGAGGGATTTTCAAGAAAGAACACCAACTGTTCAATACAGGAAAGTCTACGGAGAATAGAAGCAGTTATAAACGAAGCAAAAAAACACAACCTAAAAGTACGTGGATATGTGTCATGCATCGTAGGATGTCCTTACGATGGGGCTGTACATCCATCCTCTGTCACAAAAGTTACAGAAACATTACTGTCACTTGGTTGCTATGAAGTATCCCTAGGTTAGTACAAGATATGGCGTCAACTTCTAATACATTTTTCCAAATGATGCAAAGTCATAACCATCATTACACTATTTTGGTTTTGCATAAAAAAATCCTCGGACTGTGGCGATGAGCGTGTCTGGTGTGATACTGGTTCTCAAGAATATTTGATAACTGATTATGGTATAATAGCTCTTGATACGTACTTATATACTATACAAGGTGTCCGCAAAGTTGGGGTTTTTCTTTACACGACGTGTAGATCTTATTGATATTGGGCTTCTCAAACCAAACCAAACCGATGCCGGTCCTGTTCTGTCCCTCGATCACGTCCACAGCGCCAGCGCTAGCATACAGTTTACGACGTACGACTACGATGCAAATACGGATTTTACGACAGAGCCGTACTTGGAATTTCAGTTCAACTGAACAGTGAGTGCTTTTTCATTTATTTTTTTTGTATTTGTTCGCTCACGTTTCACCACACATTAGCTTTGTTATATCAAGCGTAGTTGTGTCTGAAAAGAAAAACCCCAACTTTGCGGACACCCTATATAATGTTATCTCACGAAATCAAGTAACATAATATTTCACTCTAAGCATATAGATAATGTCGCGCCCACCTCGTATATGCAAATCCCGTCACCGCGCTCTCTGCTACCTGCTTTTATATCCCTGGCATCCACTACCAAAGATGCAATATTTATAACTCCGAGGCGCATGGCATGTGCGAGCGATAGGTATGCGATCCATCGGCTGAAAATTTGTTTCTCTTTTAAGGGCAAATGTACGTAGAAGTGTATTAATATACTAATATAAAAAAACATCCTCCTCCACCACCGTATAACCCCCCGGCACCCTGACTTTCAACCCTAAAATTTAAAAAGAAAGATGGTCATAATCCTCTAAAACGTCGAAAAATAAGTTTGAATGATTTTTATTTGTTCCGTTTTTGGATTTTTTTCCGCTGCTACTAAATTCCAAAAGCTAGAATGTTTTTTCATCCTTGGCAAAGTAGTACAAATTTCGTCCAAATCCGAGAAATACTTTAAGTTATAGGCGGGTCAGAATGGCGGACACAGGCAGACCGACGAAAATTTGTGACGGTTTTTCATGATATAAATGTCATGTAACATCCAAAAAACATATCATTTAGAATTTTTTTCTGGATCACAATACTTCCTCGTAGCAGACTTGGGAAGAATAATCAAGTGGACTTGTAAAATTGAAACATTGAAGACAACACAAGAAAGTATCCTTGTTTTGTTCGGAAACAAAGAAATTTTGTTTTTTTCTGAATTTAGGACCAATTTTTTTTAGTAAGCGATTCTATGGCTGCCGTTAAACGTTCGGAGGACATTTCTAGAAGCTCGGATAGTGTTGCTTTCACTGTGGGAATATTTGCGTCATCCACAAAATTCACAAGATATCACACAAATGGAGCGGTAACACTGCCCTGTGGAATACCCATACGAACATAATTTACAGTGGTGACGCGTGACTTTTCCTAAACTGTTACCAAAACCAGATGTCAAAAATCTTATTAAAAAAAGTTTATTTTGAACCTCCCAAATATAAGTATGGACTGAGCGTCTGGGGCATTTAATATACCTCATGCTATGACTAATCCAAGCCGCCCGAAAAAACAGTCGACGTTTCTAGATGTTCGGAAAATTTTTGATCTTTTTTGGCAATGAATGTTAACAATTCCCTGTAATTTCCCCTATTGTCAGAGTCATCCCCTTCAAAATGAACGGTAATTCCTGTTTTGCCAAAAAACATGCGGTATCTAGAAGTGTGGTGCCTAAAAGCTTGGTTAAGACAACTTTCGATTCTTGTTTTGCCAAACTGAATTAAATTGGCTATACATCTCACATGTAAAGGAGAAATTTCGTGTCTCCTCTTTAGAGCCCTAAAACTATTTATATTGTTGACTCCGCTGCTGGTCCACCCATTGTTTTCTGTATAAAACAAATGACATCGCCATCAATACAATCTGTTTTTTTGCAACCACATAACTAAGAGTTTCCATATACCAACTCAATTTAAAATATCAAATTACGTTTTTTATTCCTTTTTAAAATTACCTAAAATAGGTGTTGGTCTTCCATTCAATGATCTCCTTTTTTTCTTAAAAATTATACAAGGAGAATGAGTTTTCAAGTAGTTGATCGATTACGCAGCGACACTCATCCATGTTAAATTACACGCACACTACAGCCGGTAACCAAAACGGCTACTAACGAGTGAGAAGTGAGTAACCAAATCAAAAAATGGTAAAAAGCCCACATAATAGTCGCAGCGCCCCACGCACTCGGGCGACCGCGATCAGACACGAGCCGGTTCCGACGGTCCCCGACAGACTGCCAAGTGTATCCGTAAATGAAAATGGTAACAACCGACAACCAAGTCGAGTTGCTATTTACTGAATTACTATTACATATCGCTGTTGGTGGACAAATAAATGAAGTTATTTCACAGTACTTAGTCATAAAATATTTATTTTTAAGATTTTTAACTGTTACCAATGGTAACAATGGTTACATGGACGCTTCGCCACTGTTAATTTATCTCATGATGTCGATCATCGTAAACTTGTAATCTGCCATAAAATGAAATTCTCATCTTGTAGGAGACACAATCGGTGTTGGAACGAAACAATTAATGAAAAATCTAATGAAGGACATTCTGGACGTTACCGCAGCCGACAAACTCGCAATTCACTGCCACGACACATACGGACAAGCACTGGTCAACATTTGCACTGCCATGGATTTCGGAATAAGGGTTGTTGATTCAGCTGTCGCAGGACTGGGAGGTTGCCCCTATGCTAAAGGTGCTACAGGAAATGTTGCTACAGAAGACTTGGTTTATATGTTGCATGGTATGGGCATGGACACAGGCATAGATCTGAGAAAATTGATTGAAGCAGGAAGATACATATGTCGACACATCAAAAAACAACCTACATCTAAAGTTAATAATGCTTTGTATTCGGAATATGGCTTTGATTAACTACTTATTAAATATATCTTTTAACAGTATTGACGATTTTCAAAATACCCTCAGCATCAATATTTCGATAAGTGACAATTTGAAATAATATGCTTATACCAGTCTATTCGTGTTAATACATTGCTATTCCCTAGAAGTAGGCAAATTAATTTTTTATGAACGAAAAAATTATAGTAGATATCTCTTGCGCAGCATAGCACATAGCTTAAACCGATTGCGTTTATTTGTTATTAATTATTTACCGCACGAGACCTTCGAAGTGCAAGTAGGAAGTAAAAGTAAAATCATCAGGTACTCTAAAATAATAAGCGATATTTCAGATTGTGGTACGGTTCAAAAGTATAAGTCCATTTGAAAGCATAAAAAACAAAAAATCTATTTAGTACGCATTTATTTTTCTTTATTTATGGAAAAACATCACCATGGAAATCAAGCATCACTGAAAGTTCATTGAAATCAAAATTTTACTCGCACTATTATTGGAATCTCATCACTAGCCAGGATAGGAATTTCTTTGCCTTTAGAATATTGTTATGTTATTGTATAGGAATTCTTCCTCAGGATTTGTTTTTCGATTATTTCTTTTAATTTGTGTTGTACGTAAACCCATAACACAGTTTTACTTCAGTTATCTTGTCTCATTTGTTAAACTAACCGTGACTCAATACCTTATAGTTCAAGATTGTTCAACAAGTGCGTTTTTTCGTTTATTTTTTTCTGGACAACATGGGTTGAACTAAAGAATCCGGCAAAACTATTCGAGAAATTTCTAAACTTCAGAACGTACTACTATCATCTGTACACTACAATATTAAGAAATTTAAGGCTCAACGCATAACATCGAGTAGCCATCGTTCAGGGAGACCCAGAGTTACAACTTCCACTGAAGACTTAAGCATAATAGTGAAAAGTAAACGCAATAGATGCATGACTGCACCAGAAATAGCAGCGGACTTGAATGTGGGCCGTAGTAAACCTGTAAGTGTGACTACAGTGGAACAAACCTAACGAAAAAGTGAGACACACCTAAAGGAAAAGTGGGACAAACCTAACGACAAAAGTGGGACAAACCAAGAGAAAAACAAGTGGAACAAACCTAACGGAAACAAGTAAGCAAACCTAACGAAAGAAGTGGGACAAACCACACGAAAAAAAAATGGAACATACCTTACGAAAAAAGTGAGACAAACCTAACAGAAAAGTGGGACAAACGGAAATGTGGGACAAACCTAATGAAAAGAAAGGGGCATACCTGAAGAAAAAAAATGGGACAGACCTAACGAAAGAATTGCGACAATACTGACGAAAAAATTGGGGCAAACCCAGCGAAAAAAGTGGGATAAACTAAACGGAAAAAAGTGGGACAAACCTAACGAAGGAAGTAGGACAAACCAAACGAAAAAAGTGAGACAAACCTAACGAAAAAAAAGTGAGACAAATGTAACAAAAAAAATGGGACAAACCTTACGGAAACGAGTGGGACAAACCTATCGTACTGAAGTGGGACAAACCTGACGAAAAAATGGGGACAAACCTGACGAAAAAATGGGGACAAACCTAACTTTTTGATGTAGTAGCTTAGTTTGGTTTTGGTTTTGTTTGTCATCGGTCAATCTAACGAAAACAAGTCGGACAAAACTAACGAAAAAAGTGGGACAAGCCAATCGAAAAAAAGTGAGACAAACCTAACGAAAAAATAGGACAAACCAAACGAAAAAACTCGAACAAGCCTCACAAAAAATGTGGGATAAACCAAGAGAAAAAAAAAGTGGAACAAACCTAACGAAAAAAAAGGACAAACCTAACGAAAGAAGTGAGACAAACCTTACGGAAATTTGGGCAAACTTAACGAAAAACAGTGAGACAAACCCAACGAAAAAACGAGGAAAAACCCTAAGGAAAAAAGTGGGACAAGCCTAACGAAACGAATTGGAACAAACCTTATGAAAAATGTGAGACAAACCTAACGGAAAAATGGGACAAACCTTACAAAAAAAAGTAGGACAAACCTAACGAAAAATGTCAGACAAGCCTAACGAGAAACGTGAGACAAACCTAACGGAAATGTGGGACAAACCTAACGAAAATTAGTGGGACAAAGCTAATGAAAAGAAAGGGGCAAGCCTGAAAAAAAAATTGAGACAGACCTAACGAAAGAAGTGCGACAATACTGACGAAAAAAAATGGGGCAAACCCAGCGAAAAAATTAGAACAAACTCAGCGAAAAAGTGAAACAAACCTAACGATAAAAAAGTGGGACAAATCTAACAAAAAAAGTGGGACAAACCTTACGAAAAAGAGTGGGATAAACCTTACAAAAAAGAGTGGGACAAACCTAACGAAATGAAGTGGGACAAACCTGACGAAAAAATGGGGACAAACCTATCTTTTTGATGTAGTTTAGTTTAATTTTGGTTTTGTCATCTGTCAATCTAACGAAAATAAGTGGGACAAAACTAACGAAAAAAGTGGGACAAGCCAATCGAAAAAAGTGGGACAAACCTAACGAAGAAAAGTGGGACACAAGATACTGTTACTCGAAGCTGGACTTGAGGGATGCATAACAGTATCGAAATCACTCCTCAATGCTACTAACAAAAAAAGGAGCCTCAATTGGGCCAAACAACATCAAAATTGGTCAGTTGCTGACTGGAAGGTCCTCTGGAGCGATTAATCGAAATTTGAATGAAACTTTTTGGTTCCAAGAGGAGTGTATTTGTCTGTCGTCGGCCTAACGAGAAGGCAATAGAATCATGCACCGTCGCTTCAGTCAAGCACGGTGGAGGCTTTCTAATGATTTGGGGCTGTCTTGGTGGTTCCGCTCTGGGGAATATTGTGAGGGTACAGGGAATACTGATTAAAGTGCCTTCTGGTACTCGCCTTATTGGTCCGAGGTATCAGCATGACAATGACCCCAAACACACATCCAAGCTCAATTTTTGGAAGCAAAAGAACAAAACATTTTGAAAGTCATGCAATGGCTTCCCCAATCCCCGGATTTGAATCCGATAGAGTTGCTGTGGGATGAACTGTACAGACAAGTACCGAAATGCTCTCCTACATCTCAAGAACACTTACGGAGAATATTACAAGACGAATGGCGAAAAATAACCCCATCCACTTTAGAAAAATTAGTTCCGTTTACCCTTCATTTGCCAGGCTATAATTGCAAGTAAAGAAGGACATATTGATGAGTCAGAAGTATGATTATTTTGATTATAAATAGTTGTATGTTGTTAAGAATTAAGAAAATAAATGTTTCATACAAATATTGTAAGTAATGTTTTCTTTAATAACTGTTCAAGTACTTTTGAACAGTAATGTAACATGACATCCCTTTATAAAGACGAACACACACAAAAAAGCATAATGCCATTAACAGTCACCTATATACATAATCTTGTACGAACATGACTCCAAGTTAACCATAAATGTCTTCATTCTCTACGTCTCTGTTGAACAGTTCAAGTTCGCAGGCTGTGATTCATGGTGACGAAATTGATGTATTGATTTTAGAGTAAAAGTGCAAGTTGAAAATTTCAATAAGGCAGTTGGATGCCATCTTGGAACATTCCTTTGAATGCATTGATAATCTCTCAGTTCGAGGATATTTATGAGAGCGTTACAACCTCAAAATATAAAATCACTATCCTTCGAAATGGCTGTGAAAGCTAAATATTTTATCACATACTCGAAGTTTGCAAAATAAATAATTTTCAACGCTTTCTCATTCATGTTTCACAATGTTTTCTTTCCATAAAAAAAGTCCTGAGCAATATTACAAATTATACATTAATAAAAAATGCCGGCTATTTTCATAGCTTCTCTAACACCCATGCGACGCCTATGTTCCTGAGTTCAATGAACTCCGGGGCAATGCTGGTTGTCTAAAAACTTATCAACCTACATAATCTTCGTAAAGAGGGTTGCCGGGTTGCCAGAGTCAGCGACACAAATTAAGGTTGATTCTCACTATACATTCCGTTTCCATTCCATATCAGTTTCGTAAACGTTCCGTACAATGTGATTGTATTCACAGTATACCTTACGGATAATGTGCATACACACGCAATCGCCTGCTTTAAGCGAAGGCAAATATTTAGTTTCAATAATTTACGGAACGGTTACGGAATGGAAACGGAATGTATAGTGAGAATCAACCTTTGTCTACCAGCGTATTCCAAAATATACTGTTACTCAAGATTTATTCAGTGGGCTTCTGAAACTTCACGTAAACTTTCTGGTCAAAAGATGTCAGGGGTATTTTTTCTATGGATCGCATCTAAATTTCGTCCAAACAGAACCAGGAAGACGAATGAATATTTTCGTATCACATCCAAAGATTTACAAAGGATACCATAAAAGTTTTGCAATACAGCGTTATGTATTGACTACGTTCAAAATAATTCAATACACTTTCCATCCGCCAAAACCAGTCCTTAAAACAGCTTTGCCAAGTTTCACCCGGGAATGTTGCATACTCGTTCTCACAGGTCCTCATCGCTAGAAAACCGTTTTCCTTTTAGCTGCATTTTGACATACGGAAACAGTGCAAAGTCGCAGGGAGCAAGATCTGGACTGTAAGGAGGGTGCTCAATAAGTTTCAGTCCAGTAGTGGTCAAATACTCGGTGCAGGCTTTGGCGCGGAGAGCTGGAGGAGGTACCAAGTATATCCATTCTTGACTTTGTCCGCACTTTTTTCATAGCTCTATGACTTTAGGCAGGCACTGTTCCGTGAACCACTGCTGTGACTGTCTTCTGTGTGTCCAAAACCACACGCTCCACAATCACGCTCGATTTGAAAAATACAGCTATAATATTTTTCTTAACAGATCAGGATTTTCTGCCAGCTGCGGGTGTGTCCTTGACATCAAAGACCCTACCTTTATTTTGAGCCTTGTTCGGCTCATCGTAATAGTAGAGTCAAGTCATGTCACCTGTCACGATGCTGTTCACATACCGAGATTACCCCTTATCATTTTCACCATCTTTCGGCACCAAGTCGTACGAAGAGTCTTCTGCCCTTCAGTCAGACTAGGCAGTACCCAGAGAGAACAAAGTTCCCTTACGTGTAAATGTTCATGCAGAAAAAAAATCGATAAATCCGGTCTCATCCACCATAGCTTTCTAAATCCGGGCGAAACGATTACGACGAAGCGCTGCCAGCAAATCGACTTCGCCTGGCCACACGTCGCACAACCGACCCTGCAAATGCTGAACGAATTAGGCTATCGAACACTGCGTCATCCACCATATTTACCGGACCTCTCGCCCACTGACTACCTCTTTTTCAAACACTTCGACAACTTCCTTAGCGAGAAATGCTTTAATAACCATGACGATGCCAAAAATGCCTTCAAAGAATTCATCGCCTCCAGAACTCCGGATTGCTACTTTAGCGGCATAAATAAACTTGTTTCTCGTTGTCAAAAGTGTTCTGCTTCTACTGGTTTTTATTTTGAATAACAAAGTTTTGTTAAAGCTGAGATATGCTCCTTTGAATTTGAAGGTTAAAAACCGCAAGAACTTTCCGAACAACCTAATGAACTGAATATTTATTCCATGTTTGTTAAATAATAATTAATTAAAGAATTTTTCAAGCAGCAACAGTGAGACATTATTTTCAGAAAAAAGCTCGTTGAATTGTTGTCATATCAATCTAGATATTGCATCAGATTTGTGTCCATGCTCAAAGTATGGCGCAAATGGTCCTTTTTCATTGGTGCATTTTATGACCATGTCTGCTAATTTAGTGTCCAGGTGCAAATAAAAATAGCATTTTGTAGCTATATCAAGTGAAATATGACGTATTTCTTAATAATAATAATCTATATTTCAAATTGTACAACCTCAGACCTTTTTTTTCGTGCTAATGGTTATGTACATATATCTTAAAACAGATGCAATCTGAAATTATTACAACTCACATAGAACTCGTCTATCGTATAAGGCTCTGACTTTACTAGAAATTGCTTAATGCTCTTTTTAAACTTATGTAAACTGTTATGTTTTTAATTTCATTTGGTAGATTGTTGAACAATTTTAAACACATGTAAATAGGGCTTTTTTGTGAAGAATAATCTATGTATTGGATAATTAACATTGACTGTTCGAGTATCACGAACAGTTTGCACCTCAAGCCCAAATAAACTTTTATTTTTGAAGAAAAATATAAGACACTCGTACACATAGATGGCATACATAGTCATGATCTTTTCTGTTTTAAACACTCCTTTATCAAACGTACTGCTCTTTTTTGACAACTAAATTTTTTTGAATAAAGCTATTGCCTCCTCAAAAAATAATCCCATACTTTAGAACACTTCCAAAATTAGCATAGTACAATATTTTTATACTAGAATTATTTAGATGTCTTGATGTTACCCTAAAACCATAGCAAATGGAATTAAGCCTCTTCAGCAGTTCGAATACATGTGTTGTCCAATCTAAAAATTTATCAATATAGATGCCTAAGAATTTTACACTTTCACTCAACTGCAGTTGATGATAATCTATATCAATACATTTTGGCTTAACAACTTTGCTCTGCTTAGTTCTAAATAATGTCGCATCAGTTTTGGATTTATTCAGCACTAGTTTGTTCACAGAAAACCATGAATTCACAATTCTGAATAAGATATTCACATTAACAGCTAGGTCCTGCACACTTGTCCCACCCAACACTAAATTTGTGCCATCAGCATAGCAGATGATTTTATGGTTGCTCTCATCACCACTAGTAACAAAAAAGAGATCATTTGAAAAAACTACAAACAAAATAGGCCCAAGTATACTACTATGTGCTATACCGGTTGAAGTCAACCCAATGTTTGACTTGTAAGTTTGACCTCCTTTAAGGCCGCATGTCCCTTTTTTCGTTTTTTTTTCAACTACCCGTTTGCATCAGTATTCCAAATCCTTTACATCTGATTACTTCATGATGTGTATAGAGATGACTATAAACCATCGTTTTTAATTTTGTTTTGTCATAAAATGCATTTTTTGTGCATTTTATTATGGATTTTTTTTTTCAATCGTAACTTGTAACAAATATTAGTACAGCTCTGAAATTGTATGTGAATATTCCACTTTTATGGATGAATGAAAGAAGTACTTATATTTGTTAACAAGTTCCGATTGAAGAAAAAATGCACAAAAAAAGCATTTTTTACAAAAGAAAATTGAAAACATTGTTTTTGAGCCATCTCTATACACACCATGAAATTATCAGATGAAAAGGATGCTTCACACAGGTAGTTGTCTATTATAGAGGTATACAATTTCAACCCTCTGTTGTCTATTATAGAGGTATGACTTGAACACTCAAGTTCAGTTCCTCTTACACCATATCTTTGTAGCTTTAATAACAATATGTCTCTGTCAATGCAATCATAAGTTTTGGACAAGTCCAGATAGAAACCAACCGCTAAGTTTCCTTCCTCTAATTGCTTAAATACTGTTTGAACAAATTGAAATATTGCAGGATATGTTGATCTCCCATGTAGGTATCCATGCTGATTTGTATTAAATAAATTACAGTCAAATAATTTTGAAAAAAATCTTGATTCAATATGGGTATTTTAGGGCCCAGCTTACACAAGCCTTATTAATCTCTAGTTTGGGAGAAATTTTGCAAGAAATCGAGCATATTCATTAGAGCCATTACTTCAAGGACGCCTTCTCATTGGTTGAATTTGTGACCCACGTGCTTTATTGCGGCCTAGCTTGGTAAAATCAGATCTGAGGGTTCCGGAAACGTTTCCACAATGTTACCAAAATAAAATCTTGATAGGGGAGTATGAAAAAATACTGATTACAAAATTACGAAAATTTAATAAAAAATAGGTATATAAATAAATATTTCACATAAAAAAAATAAGCTAAAAAAATCCCGGATTCGTATGCTCTATAACACATCTTTTACAATATTTCTTTACAGCTCTGTAACCTTCCAGAGAAATCTGGCAATCTTGAATATTTAGTTGCTGCAGTCCCCTGCAATAGTACGCAACGCATTGCACTCCTCTATCAGTAACAAGATCACAATTTCGTAAGCTCAGCTTTTTTAGATTAGGACAGCTCTCTGCTAAAGCTCTCAATCCTGCATCACTAACATCACATTTGCCAACATCCAATGCTCTCAGCCTAGTGCAAGACCTTGCCAGGACGGTGATTGCATCATCAGAAACTGCTTCGCAACCTCTGGCGTTAAGGTAGCGCAGCTTGTAGCATTTTCTCGCTATCACTTTTAGTCCAGCATCACTGACTCTGTCACATTTCGCTACTGAGAGGTATCTCAAAGTTGCTCCTAGCTTGGCTAGCTCATATAACCCAAAATCTGTGATGTTTGAACAATCACTAACACTAAGTTCTCTAAGGCCCGAGCAGAAGCTTGGCACATATTTTAGTCCTGCATCTAAAAGAAGAATAAAATATTGTTCAAATAACTGGCAGACCTATAAAAACTAGTTACATGTGAAACATAATTCATTTTCTAATCAGTTTTTGCAGATATAAGCAATCATCAAGTCATTTGCTAGCAAATTGAGAAACTCTGACCTTCAAACAAATCAATCAAAATTTAAAAATTAAATTTAGAAATCTACAAATTCATTTCAAGTTATAAGTAATTTGACCACAAAATAGGTTAAAAAGACTGCATGACCAATTTAAAAAAGGTTAGTTTACTGTCAAGGTTTTGCCTTTTTCCCAAAGTGGGGAATGAAACCAAAATAATTTAAGAACTCAGGCATTTATTACTAATAGGTCCGATGATGTTAACAACTATTTAAATGAGTCTGACCCAAATTTAACAATAAAGAAAACACATTATGTCGCTCTATCTTGCTCATACATGAAGTTGGTAAACTATTGGTTAAAAATAAGATTAGCTGGTGATGCACTTTTCCAGAGCCAAGTGTGTTAAAGAAATGGCTTCCATTTTTGGTAGTAAATGATTCAGATTTATTTCGGAATTAGATTTTCGGTCACAAGTGAAGGAATTTTTTTCGTCAAATGTGGCCACACAGTTTACCCAAACTTCAGGGGCCTTAAAAATAAGCTATTTAACTAATTTTGTTAACAATTTTAACAAGACACTAACCAATTATAAGAACGCTTTGTTTTACGGCGCGCATGTGTCTTTGGGTGACAGGTATTTTTAGAAAAAGCAAAAGTAACTTTCAAATAGTTGAACTGAGTTCCATCAAACATAGCTATAAAAAGCATCTAGGCAGGTAAAGCCTATTAAAAAAAAAACGTAATAAAATTGGCTCTTTTGTTGGGGAACTGTGATGCCACAGCCAGACACAACCACACATTTACATATGTTGAACTCAGGGGTTAAAAATGAAAATGTAAAGTTTCATATCTAGTATACCTGTTATTTGGATGCACCTTCTTAGATACAAATATGCTAAGTGTGGACAGTTGCGTACAATGACCATAAGACCACTGTCTTGCACTGCCAGACAATCAGTGAGATCCAAATATTGCAACTGTAATCTCCTTGGAGGTCCTAAGCCACCTATGCAGGATATTTTTGTACAACCTGAAAAATAAAATTATGCTGCATTCAAAAATTGTCTATTATCTCGATTATATAGTTCTGAAGCAATCCACAAGTTCAATCCACAGGATGTGCAAGAATATTATTATTCCTTGAAAAAAATATTCTAAAGAGGTACCCCACTATAATATAGAGTATATTAAAACATTTCCTTCCTTAAAAGCAATAATAACAACTTCGATTTTCCTGTTAAATGAAACTATTTGTTTTTAATATGATTTCATGAATATGCCAAATCTTTAATATCACACATCTCAGGCACCACTGAACACATTTTGTTTAATTTTTGCAGGATAACAAACTTACCTGTGAACAAAGTAAAACTAAGACGGTTGAAAAATCCAGGGCCGGACTCGGTTTTTCCAACTTTTTTGTTTTTATATCAAAATTAGCACATTTTAAGCTGAATATTGAACTGTTTGACTATTTATAGAAAAAAGACAATGAAAGGTGCAAAAAGAGCGGGGGCATTGTCGGTGACAAATGAAAATTAAAGAGCGGTGGAGATTGGCGAATTGAAACATACGTTCGAAATTTTTTTGAACTAGGATATTTTGGGGGAACGGGATTTCGGCCCCCGGAAGCTCTTCTGGATCCGCCACTGTATCCACCCTATTTACTTTTTTAATGGTTTAATTTAACCAACTGATACTGTACAACACGAGCTCTTGTTAAAAAGTGAAGTGGAATTTAATATGCAATTCCACTAAATTTCACCCTCCAGACCAATTTGAAATCAAGTTAAAAATCCCAAAAAAAATGGTATGCTGGTCCTGACTTGACATTTAATTAAATTATGTGATGTACCATGTGTACATTATGTAACTAAATCTAATGTAAGGTTGTGATCAGAGCACCTAAACATAACTATGCTGAAATACCGAGTCTGGGCCTGTATATTAGGTTTTTCTACTTCAGTGGAATTAAGCCATTCAAAAATTACCGAAAAAAACTAAATATGACATCATTTTCACGTTTATTATATCATTTATTCCTCTTTTTTCTGCGAAGAAACAATACATTCAAACTAAAACTTACAGGGTGTTCACGGAGTAAAATACAAAGAGAAAGAATAAAAAAACTGAATCCAATCCTGGAATTTTGAGTTCCCACAATATCTTTCATTTTCAGTCTTAAGCACTATCTTATAAACTGTTGATGAGATGATAACTCTTGAAATTTTTAGTTTTGTGTCACGTAAACTGTTAAAAATAAGATATTTGATTGAATATTTTATTTTGTTAAAAAAACAAAATAGGCGCAATAAATCTAATTTGCTACCTAATTAGCACCATTCGTTGTCTTTTTTTTTGTAGATAGTTCAATATTCAACCTAAAAGGTGTTGATTTTGATAAAAAACAAGAAAGTGCCACAAAACGAGTCCGGCCTTGGATTTTCTAACCATCCGTCTAGTTTTACATGACTCATAAGTAACTTTGTTATTGTACAAAATTTAAACAAAATCGGTTCAATAGTTCCTGCGACATGTGGCATTAAATATTTGGCATGTTTCGGTGAATCACCCTGTGTATCAGATATGAAAAGGTCTTGGTCCATACTACATATGTATATTTGAGTATGGAACACCCTGTATAGGCTTATTTTCGCAGACACTACTTTAATATGGATTGGCTATCTTCTTGTGGAACATGTCAATCAGCAAATCTACTATATTCTTACCTGAAATATCTAAATGCTGCAAATTAATACACCTAGTAGCCACTTCCATTAAAGCATTGTTAGTTAAGTTACTGCACCCTTGTAACTGCAAGTGGGTTAGTTCTGGACACCTCCTAGCTAAGAGCAGTAAGCTCTTGTCCAGTAACCTGACCCCATTTGTAATATAAATCTTTTCAACACTGGGGCATGCCCCCGTTCTGCCTTGCCCACAGAGTTGTCTTAATACACCTCTGATTGCCCTGTCACCACTCACAGAGTCATCATCTAAGATAATGTTCCTCCAAAGTGATGGAGTCCAAGCTAGAACATCAAATCTTCTACAGACCTGAGCGCAGATACTCAGATCAATGCTTGTTAGAAATGAAAATATCTTCACTACTAGCTCATCTGGTAGTCTGTCAAAAGAATTATTTTTTGTCTGATACTTCTTGCCTTTGTAGTTTCCATTGCTCCATAGGTCTGTTGTGACCAAACCTGTATTGCTGCCGATGAGAGTATGGTAGCCTTGGTCTAAAGTTGGACTAGATTTACCAAGTTTCGTGAAATTCTCTAATAAATAATTTGTTTCTGGTGGCTCACTATTGGAAGAATAAAAATCTGATGGATTGTTTTGAAATTTGTCATAGTTTTCATGTTCCCAGTAATTCGATGTGACAGACAAAGATAAACCATCATGCTTGGGAGAATAGTGCACATTATGATGTTGAGATTCCAAGTTGTTATTTTTGTTATAGTCTTGAGATGATGGAAGATACTCATTTGGCCGATAGTAGTTTGGCTGAAAATATAACATTGGCATAAGAGTTACAGCATGAAAAACAATACATATCACACTGTATACTTTTTGTTGTACTTATCATCTAGATTAAGTATTGTGATATGTATATGAACTGTAGTATCTTATATACATTTCTTAACAGAAAATGGAGATGCCCTTGAAGTTAAGGTGTTATTCGAATCCATTTTCACCTAGTGAAAAAATCCATAGAACTATTGAAACATTTAGAAAAAGTGCCTATGAAATTTATTTTCAATATGCAGTCTGCCTAAACAATTATAGTGAGTCTTCAGTAACAGAAACTGGATCTGTATTTAACTGCTACATAAATGTGCTAAATGCAAACAAGACAACTAGAGTCTTCTACACAAACCCACACAGGATTTGAGCAAACATGTATTGTCCCTTCCAGAAACATCACTTGAGACAGATTTCCATACACACAAACATCACAAGCTCAAGCACTGAATGCAGATCTGACCAGTCAGGCACAAAGCCTGATACCTGATATTATTCACATCTACTTCATCTCAAATATGAATTTAGTATAGATAGAAAAACTGCAATGTTTTTAGAGATTATCATACTTCACACAATGACCACTTTGTCAGTCACTAGTGACTGAGACTGGACTATTTCAATGGTGCTATGTCAGTCACAAGTAACTAGAATTAACTTATCTAAAGCTGTCAGTCTAAGTTCCTTGCTCAATTATATTATGCTGACCTGATGCAGAATGCATCAAAATAAATGAAATATTTATATCCTCTGTATGCTGACATAAAACTTGTAAAACATTTTTTTGTAATTATACAAGCATTCAATGTGTTGAGTAATACCACCATATGTTTTTGGGATATGGAGTGTTTAACATTAAAATCTGTAGCTAGGTGTTGGAGAACATGTATCTATTACAATTTCTATATTAAGACTTACCAAATAATCAGCATCACTCGACTGTTTCTGTAAGTAACTTTTGTCTATTGACATCTGTTTGTTGTGGCATGTTCTATCTGTATTGTTTTTATATGATTTGTCATATTCAGAGCTATAGTCATAGTTTTCAAACATGTATGATTCATCTTCAGATTTAGTTGTTCCTGTTGAGTTAGAATTCAGGCCAAGTCGTACTAGTGGACATACCATAGGCAGAGGTGATATACGCTCATGACCAGAGGATTGACTCATATCTCAGATTCTGAAAAAAAATACATAGTTCCTAATACTTTCCTTGTGCTGCATTTTAGAATATCTGTGCCAAGTAGACCTACTTATTGAGTCTGATAAGGAAGAAATATTTTAGTTTCATATCCTTTATATTTACAGTAACTGGCACTAAGAAATTTATATTGTTTCAATCAGTTTTGAAGACCTTCCCTTGAAAAATATGTTGCTTCAAAGAATAATGGATAGAAAGGTCGTAGACACTTGCATACCTTACCTTAACCAAATATTTGATTATAAAATGTTGACAATGTAATTCCTGATATTTCACCATTTGGTTCAATCGCACGATGATCATATCCCATTTTGGAGCAATATGTATCACATTACAGCTTTGATTTAACTTTTATCCACATATTTACGAAAACTTTTGACGGATTCAAGTTTTTTCTTTTCTCTTTCTTTATCCTATAAAATCAACAAGTGTTGCCAACATGTGAATGTCAAAAAAGGTATGTCAATCGATATATGATATATCATTATTTTCTGCCAGTGGCGTAACCCACGCTACAGCAAAGTATGAACATGGTTAAGGGTATCATAACACATTGTAAGCCACTAGCTTGCCTTTGCCGGTGTAGGGAATCAGGCCAAAAATACTATATAGAGAAAGTACACTCGAAATGAGGGCTTAAATTAAGTTGCGTGTGTGTTCAAAATTAAAATGTAGTATGTATATTCATAATCGATCTCCAGCTTCGTCCCTTCGAATTTTGCGACTCACATTTATGGGTTCGCCTGAAGTTGCCCCTGTTTTGAATTGGTTCGACCATTCAACAATGAGTTGGCTCATCACCTGATAGAGCTTGATTCCAAATTGTGGGGTTATTAAACAAAGAGGCGTCACACATTCAAGTGACTATCACGTGACCAGATCACATTTATTGAGGTTTTCTAATTTTTTTATAATATGAACATCTAAAATGCTATTTGATGGTAGTGTTTATTGAAATTTGCTAAAATTACTATGTTCTTTAACTGTATGTTGGTCCGAGTAAAGATAATATGGCCACGCAAGGCAATTGTTGAAATGTATTCTACCAGACTCTAGAAGACTATCCGTAGCGAAATTTTTGCCGAAAGCGTTGCACAACACTTAACAAAATGCAAATAAAAATTGCCGCTTTGACGTTCTAAATGAGCTGTCGGTACCTCGGGATAGACATCTGTCTTGACAGATAATCTTGTCATTCTTGCCACCTGGATTGCGGCGTTGCCAGCTCATCGGACGATTTTGCTACCTCTGCTATTTTGATAGAATGTTATAAAAAAAAAGTAGTTTTGAATAAAATATTGAGGAATACCAATGGAGATATATAAAATTTGAGGCGTAGCAATGTTTGCCAAAAAACTAAAAAAATCCGTCATTTACATTTTGAACACAAAAGCTGTTATTTACATTTTGAGTCGCGTAGCGTCTATGGGGCGGTACGTTAAGGTCTCTGAACATTTTTTAAATGCCCAGTTTTATAGGATAAAATACTTTTTGACTTCCAACAATTGGAAAAACAATGTTTAATTATATATACTACAGTACTGACTTCGAAGTTGAGTCATTTATTTTAACAGTGAGTAGATCTGATCAAAAGAAATGTTTTTTTCCTTTACCATTTTTCTGGTAAAATTAAAGTAACAAAGTTATAGCCCTTTGGAAGTTTGAGTACCGCCCTGCCTATTATATGCTCGTGTTTGGCGATAACGGATATAATCCGCCTGACCGGTTCATCGCATCAGAAACAAAAAAGCGAAAGAATTTGAAACCTTTATCACGATGTTTTTCTTCTGTCGATAACGCGTGAGTGAATAGTAGTGTGTTGCGTGGCTCAAACGAAATCAAAAATGGCACATGTTTACGAAAATGCTGAACTTGTGGACATGATTCTTATTTACGGGGGGGCAGTCTTTACAAAATGCTCCCGGATGCATCACGGATTTATGCGAATCGGTTTCCCAATCGAGTGCAACCAACCCCTCGTGCCTTTGTTAATGTAGTACAAAGGGCTCGTGAATCAGGTGACTTAAGACCTCACAGGTGAGGGCATGCTGCTCCAAGACCGCACGATCAAATACAGGTCCGCACTGAAATACTTGTCGGGAGGATACTTTATTAAACAAGGTAACATTTTTTTTTTATTTTTTTTTTATTTTTACACACATATTTTGGTTTATCTTCCTTCTACAATCATTATCTGAAAATTAATGACTCAACTTCAAAGTCATTCTGTATATATATATATATATATTTATTAACTATTTGTTTTAGTTTTTCCCAAATACCTCAGTATATGACTAATCTCTCAGTGTATGCAATGTGCGCAATTTATTTAAAAAAACATATCGCCGCAGCGAGGTACAGCACTCACACGCATCAGTCTCTCGGCAACCGTCTACGCGTTCACAGCTCCGTACTGAGCTCTATTCGGTTTAGCTACTTTTTTTAGTAGTGGTGTTCACTATATTATGTCTCATTGGTGCTTTAGTGCTCTGACGTTGTTGTCAAGTGTATCCAAGTTGGAAATTAGGTCTACTTCCAACTCTTCTGAGGAAAAAGGATATCTGTGCTGCAAACTAGGTGAGCCGTGCATACTCATCACTTGTGTGTTAGGGTTGTTTTCTTAAATAAATGAGAATTTTAATAACGTTGTATAGTACACGACAACGATATTGTATTCGTTTACATTTTTTGCCGATAGTCATAAAACGGCTATAAAACCGAGAACCAGAGGCATGAGAACAGAGACGGATCTGAAAATTTTCAAACATTTTCTCTTGCAAGTCTGGATGAGATGAGAGATGACTGAATCAAGTTGTTGAAGTAACGTTGATTGCTATTGTAATTAATTATCTAGACATTAGTTTAAAATTCATACTATTAACCAAAATATACATATGTATATGATGGTAGCGATGTCAAAGATGTAAAGTTACTTACCTTATTTGCTATGTTGAGGAACCTTCTTCCAGAAACACGCACTTCAAGATCATTCACCTAAATACATAATTTTTGGTGACAGCAGCTGTCAAGTTTTGCCGCGGGTAAACTGGAAAAAAATGCTGACAGCTACTGTCATACAATTTTTCCATCTAGAGACCATTCGTAAATGGAAATTTCACGTTTGTGATTGATAGAAATTAAGACAAGGGAAATAGTCGTCGTAATGAAAACCACAGGATAAGTATCAGATGCTACATTAACACAAAGACTGGTGCCACGACTTGACTTGTGTTTGAATGTTTATGTTGAAAAATGAAAAAAGGTTTATTTTTTAGTTTGTGTACGAATGCAGTCACTAAAAACCATATTCCCCTAATAAAGAGTAGAGAAAATGAAATTGCACTTCTCCTATTAATGATCATGTAATTTTAGATCAAATAGTTATTAAAAATATATTTATATAATAAAACATTGTTTTTTCCAATTTATGGAAGAAGTCCCGTATTCAAAAAGTATTTTATCCTATAAAACTGGGCATTTATAAAAGTGTTCAGAGACATTAACGTTCCGCCGCATAGACGCCAGACGATGCAAAATGTAAATGACGGATTTTTTTAGTTTTTTGGCAAATATTGCTACGCCTCAAATTTTATATATCTCCATTGGTATCCCTCAATATTTTATCCAAAGCTTATTTTTTTATAACATTCTAGCAAAATAGCAGAGGTAGCAAAATTGTCCGATTAGCTGGCAACGCCGCAATCTAGGTGACAAGAATAACAAGATCGTATGTCTATCCCGGGGTAACGCGGAATTATTTTTAGTGTGTTAAGGCGGCAGTTTTCCAATCTTCATTTGCATTTTTCAAGTGGGGTGCAACGATTTCGAGAAAAATTTCGATACAGATAGTCTTCTAGAGTCTAGTAGAGTATATTTCAATGGTTGTCTTGCGTGGCCATGTTATCTTTATTCGGGTCTGTATTTTATATATTCACTTTACATACTTTTTGATTTAAAACTATGGAATATTCTTTATTTTTGTCCCCTATTTCTTTCACTTTGATTTTTCCAATAAAATGTAGTCAACTTAGTAACTTTACAAGTGGTTCTTATTTTGTTATACGCTAAAAATATTTCTGCTACCTATGTAAAATATGTGCATTGTGGGGTACTGAAAAACTGTTTTATGTATTTGTGGTAACCCTAGTAATTTTGTATGTTTTCCAATAAACACAATGATTGATGATGTGTTGTTAGTCTTGAGCCACAAATGATTCTAAACATACCGTATATTGTTTCCCGTTAAGCTTTTGGAATTTTTTGAATTTTGAATGGCGTTTACAAAAATTGCAAACTACACTTTTTTGCCAATGTTGTTCCGTGGCATAGATAATTTTATTCCTCAGCAACGCAACCGATGATTAATTTTGTACAAATAGGGATGTCTGTCCGCCACTTTCATCGATATAGTTACATTACAATTAACGATTGGTAGCACTGACAAATCATTTCCTAATTGATGTTGGTGACACTGTAATTCAAATTCTGTCATTTTGACAATATTGACACATTAAACACTGAATCAGTGTCGCCAATAGAGGGAATAATGATTGAATTTTTGTTCTGTGGATAATCATGGAACAAAATCGACATAGTTGTATGTTTTGTGGCAGAAAAGCCTAAGCGAGGGTGTTGTTTCTAAACTTTTAGTTCTAAGTCAAAAGGTCAAAAATGGCAGCTGGTCTTTTAATAATACTGAAATTTGCTTCAATTTTAAAATCGTAACATATATGGTGCTTGATGAAATATTACTGTAACAGCAAAACGCTTGCCTTAACCCTTAAATAAATTGTATTTAATAAGTGTTTTAGGTAAGCATCCTCTTCATAATTTCACTCCATTTTTCGTTCAACTTGTGCTTTAATTCTCCCTAAAAGATAAATAACTACAATATTTATGAACAGTGTCAATATGAAGATAAACGCTGTCAGAATGACAACACCAATTGAAGAAAAAGTTGATCAAAAATTGAAAGTTAGAACCGGAATGGTCAGTGTCAGTGATGGAAAAAGTAGACCAATTCCAGTACAACTTCATCTATCCATGGAGGTTTTACGGTTACAGAAAGAAGAACCACTACCTCCAGAAGCTAAGCCTCAGAATCTTAATGCTAAGGTATTATTTGCAAGACTTCCCTTCATATCACAAAAATAATTTCACTAATCATTAATGTCACATTTCAGTTTCCAACTTTGGAAACCTTTGAGATGATAAAGTGTTGTGGCCCAAGTAGACTGATTGATAGATTCGGCTGCATTTACATTTTTTTCTGAAAACACCACCACACCATTTAAAAATAAACAGTGTGCATCCACCAATTTTTTCAAAAATGTGACTGACTTTTTTAAAACACCATGTTTGGAAAACCAGAGTATCCAACCTATTCTAAAAAATAATAGCTCTTATCATGAATTGTGACAAACTCAATATATTTTATGTATCAGCTAATTTGCATATTCACCTCAGGAAAGAATGGTTCAGATCAGGAGGCAAAAGATTGGGGGACTTGGGCTTAGCATCAAAGGGGGAGCTGAACATAAACTCCCTATTTTAATCTCTCGAATCTACAAAAATCAAGCTGCAGAGCAGACTGGGGAATTGTTTGTTGGGGATGCTATTATAAAAGGTAAGGTTTAAGTAAGTAAATGAAAAGACAATGTTCAAGATATAACACAGTCAGTGAAAAAGACAAGCCTTGTACATCTTTTGAATTTGTTTTTAAGATATTATTTAAAATTACAGCCTTTCATCTGATCTTTTGATTTTAGTGAATGGTGAATACATAACAGCTTGCCCTCATGATGATGCAGTTAATATACTGAGAAATGCTGGAGATCTGGTTGTTTTAACAGTAAAACATTATAAAGCAGCTACTCCGTTCTTACAAAAACAAGGTATATACATTTTATGTAATCACAGATTTTATATTTTTTATATCTACCAATACAATATGTGCCCTTACTTCTTTGGAACATCTGGCCCCCTTATCTCTTCCAGTCCATATTAACATCAGAAAATAACAAAGTTTCATCCAGATCATCGATTCCCACAGATTCTGAGGATACATCTTAATAGCAGTAGAACTTTGCCTTGCTAATTTGTCATTTTTATCTGTTGTTACAACTGAATGAAATTTGATACACTTCTTGTTTTCACCGAAATATGAGTTTTCATGGAGACTGCAGATACACAAAGATTTTTAAAATTTCCTCACAATATATATTATAATATCCAAAGCAAATGGCATACAGAATGTCCATTCTCATTATGTGTTGCAACAAGTGATCAAAACCTGGCGTGCATTAGTAATTTGAGGCACTGAATTTGATTATGACTAATGTCTATAGAGTCGCGGGGCGCTGCATTTGAAAATGGACTTCAAAAAAACTATCGTTTGCCGAATTTGAGGTATAAAGTGAGCTGCTGGGCACACCTGTTGAATTGGCTACAAATTCAGCACTTTATCTAAAAACTTACCTGAAATAGTATTGGTGGAGTTACAGAGAACAAAGAATTTCGATAGAACTTATTCATTTCAGAAGATAAAGACTCTCAACAAACTGACAGCAATAGTGATGAAAAAGGGGCCTCAGATGAAAGCCTACGTGTTACTACAAACAGCACATGTAGTAGACCAAGCTCAATTTGCTCTGAGCTGGATCATGAAGCTCAAACCCACTGGGTGGACATCGTAACAGTCCCACTTATGATGGCATATGTAACCCGATATATCTTTGGAACTGATAAGTTGAGACCAAATGCATTTGAAGTACGAGGCTTAAATGGTGTCAGTACTGGGATTATACACTGTGATGACTCTGCTATTCTGTCACAGTGGTTAAAATATATTACGGACAATATTATTGGACTTACTAATTTACAGGTATGTAATTTAACTACCATAGAGGAACATTCAAAGGACGATTTAACTTTTGCATTTCACACTAGGTTGTAACAGATTTTTCTTCACTGACTATATCTATTTAGCATTTTTATGATTAATTTCGGGTGGTTTGGTTATTTGTGCTAAGGTTTAGTGAGTTATGTAAAATAATGAAAATTTAAGTTTTTTTGAATCAGTATCACAAGAGTCTATGTTTGACAGTAGGAGCATATTTATACAGAGTGTTAAAAGAATAGATGGAGATGTTTTATAGGGTGATTCCTTGTTAAGAAATATGAACAAATGTTTCTATAAACATAGGTCCGGATTGTGTTGAAATTTGACAATTTAATTTGTTATATTAAGAGTCTAATTTAAGTCCTACACAGATTAAAATTATTAGGTCCAGTGGCGTTCCGCGGGGAACCTTAGCGAATATTATTGGCAAAAAAAGGAACGCCACTGCCTTTTTAATAACTTTGTTGTTTTATTAAGGATCTAAGAATACAACTTTTTTGCCTCTAGACGAAACATCAAATTGAAATTCTAATTATGCCATTTTATAAAGCAGAAAAAGTAGTATTGTTTGTGTGAGGTATATTGAAATCCTTCTACAAATGAAGCCAGGGAAAAAATTAAAACTATTTTGGGGACATTCATTTTTTGGACTCTCTCTAAGCAGCATTTTGTTAGTTACATAAACACATATTATTCTGAAAAATCGTCGATTAATTTGTAGCTTGTGAGGAAAATAATTTTCATGCTGTACAAAAATACGCCCAATCTGTTAAATGTAGAGTATTGCAATGCTGGTTGCCTAAATCCATTTAGCTCTGCTCTTCAGGTGGTGGCGTGAGGGATAACAAATGTATTTTTGGTCTTGCTAGCTATTTTACTATCAGTACTATCAGATATCCCATTCTGTGCACTGCAAATGCTATGTTCTGTGATATTTTTATAAAAAAATTGCGAGGGTTAAACACCGCCAGCTCATGAGTATCATGACATTGCAAAGACTTATATTCACCTAAAACTTTGTTTACAGATGAAACTGTACAATAGAAACTTCAGTGTATCAGATCGTATAGAATACATGGGCTGGGTGAATGAAGGTGTTCTGAACAATAATCATCCGTGGCAGAACTATAAACCGAGATTTTTAGCCTTAAAAGGGACTGATCTGATGCTTTTCGATTCCCCACCAGTAAGTATAAGGAATGCCATTTTTTTCCTAGAAGTTAACAAAAGGGAGTTAAGTAGTCTCTGAACTTCATACTCATTGATATATTTCACACTCTAGCTACATAAACATGCCAAGCATTATTGATATAAGTGAGTGGACCCTTCCAAAAACTAGTTTTCAACGCCCAAAAATAATCAGCAATTCGGAAAACGAAGATTGGGACTATTCTGACGTTTTTCGTTTATAAGCCCGCCGCCGATTTGTTCGATATTCAAAGCCACTTAACCCAAAAAAGTAAATGTTTTTAAAATAAACAAAAAACTTTAAGCTTAATAAAAAAGGTATCTTACCTTTAGATTATACAAAGTATGTATCTTATTTTTGAGGATATCTGAAAGTACATTAAGTGGTAAGTCATCTTTTGGGTCAGGATGTTGTGATTGTCCGACTGTCGAACGAGGAGGTACCACCCGGCGGATCTCGTAGGCGGAGCCTGAATGTGTGCATGTTGCATGCACACGTGTTCCCTCGCCAGAGTCCGTGTGGCGTTCCCCCTTTCCCCTGTATCCCCCTAGGCCTTCGTGGTAGTTGGAGTATAAAAAAAGGTGTAACAGCCTCATTAAACTGGTCTTCACTTTGCATATTTTCATGCTTAAATCCTGCTTTGCGAAAGCAACTTTGCACTGTTCCTTTGGTTACATACCTAAAGGAATCCTCTTATTATGAGCTGCTATAAACCAGTCATAACACAAGTTGTCAATTTTGGTACCATCACCTATTAAATAGTTTCTTTTTTCATTAAAATTGCTGTCTGACATCCATTTCTTCAGTTTAATTATATCTGCAGCTTGTGCTTTCCCCATATTAAAACGCTTAGATAAGTTTCTTACACTTAACTTTTCTACAATGAATGTGTCGCCCATTGTCTTTTCCTTATTGACGTGTCAGACTAATACTGAATGGAAATTTAATCGAAAGCCTGTTCCCAAAGAATAAGAACGGTAAATCCCCGAACAACTCGGGAAAGTCCTTAATTCACGTCGAGCAGAAATGCACCACATAGGCTGCGTTTGTACCGAAAGATTTGAACCCCCGGTTTACTCGAGCGAAGATTGCGCACGGCACGATTGAGAAATGCAATAGCGATACTCTCAACAGAAAAAAATAATACAAGGCGTTTCTTTTTATTTTATTTTTTGTCCGGTTAGGAGACCATTTTGTCGTGTCCGTTCATGACAATGTCCGTGCAAGAGAGAGTGAATACAGTGCAAATTATATGAGACTCCATCGCGACCATGAGAAACTGTCCGTTTGAAGAGGGGTGTCACTTAAGCATAGTAGTTAGGGGACGTTTTTGTATAACAGTCTCTGAAATTATGCAGGGCGCTCGGCGCTCTGTGGAATCGTTGTGCAGGGAAGTCGATCTTTCTGTTAATGCTGGAAAGACTGAGCTGATCGTATTCACTAGGAGAGGAAGGCTTGACGGGCTGGTCATGCCGACCTTCTTTGGGACTAGATTAATTCTATCCCAATCAGTGAAATATCTGGGAATTATCCTGGATTGCAAACTGAACTGGAGAGAGCATGTTGAATACAAGGTCAGCAAGGCTCGCAATTCAATGTGGGCCTGTAGACGTATTGTCGGTGTAAGGTGGGGGCTTAAACCCAAAGTGGTATACTGGCTCTACACGAAGATAGTACGTCCATCTCTCTTGTACGGCTCCCTGGTCTGGTGGCCTTGCATTAGAACTGAGACAACTAAGGCCAAACTCAATAAAATTCAGCGTTTGGCCTGTATTAGCATTACAAGCGCAATGCGAACAACGCCATTGAGTGCAATGGAAGCTCTGTTGGATCTCCCACCGTTGTATCTGGTGATCAGCGGTGAAGCGAGAGTAGTCGCTCATCGACTGTGGAGTCAGGGCAGATGGGCCTTCTTGAATCCTGTCAAGGGGCATACTGCCATCTTAGTCGAATTGCAACGGGAGGACCCCGTCATTCTAAGCAGAGGTGATCGTATCACCGCTAGATATCGCTTCAACCGCAAGTTTATTGTGGAGTATCCAACGAGGGAGGAGTGGGACGCCGGTAGCCGGAGACTCTCCAGCGTGAGCGGGCAGGTCTGGTACATGGACGGCTCGGTCACCGAAGAGGACTCAGGTGCTGGGGTCTCTGGGCGTAGAAGTAGGCTATCTCTGCCTCTCGGTGGATACACCACTATTTTCCAGGCGGAAATCTTTGCGATTCTGGCTTGTATATCTCGCATTCTGGAGGAGGTTGGGCCTAGGAGAAGAATAACAATCTTATCCGACAGCAAGGCTGCAATGAAAGCACTAAGTGCCTGTAAGATTACCCCGAGTCTTTGTATTGCAATGCAGGGAGGCTCTGGATTGCCTCGCAGCGAGGCATCCGGTATCGTTAATGTGGGTACCGGGACACGCTGGGATAAGGGGCAATGAGACGGCGGACCCTCTGGCGATGACAGGATCAGCCAGCAAGCTCGTTGGTCCTAAGCCAGCTTTAGGAGTGACCGCGCATAGAGCTAGGAGGAAAATGGAGACGTGGGTTGCAAGACAACACTCTCAGAAAAGGAGAAGTATCTCCAGACATCTCCGCCAGGCACGGGAAGTCATTGAAGGGCCCAGTGCTAAGGATGGACGTTTCTGCTTATCTCTGGATAGAGCCAACCTAAGGTTGCTGGTGGGACTGTTGTCTGGCCATAACACGTTAAGGCGCCACCTGCACGTGATGGGGGTGGCTGAGGATCCCTTGTGTGAGCTACTATAGGCAGACTATACTGGGGTCCATTACTTTGGACCCTCAGGACGTCAAGGAGCTTGGACTCAAGGCGATTCTCAACTTCGCTAAAAGGGCGAGGCTTGTGATCTCAGGAATGTAGAGGTGCATAAGGGCCCTCTTAAGGGGCCTATGCACTGGCTCCTTATGGTGGCCGGAATGCCTCTACTTTCACGATTCATTCATTCATTCATTCAAGAGGGGTGTCCGCAAAGAGGAATTTTACTGTTTATCGGTTTAGAATTTTTGCGATTATAATACTGGCTTGGGAGGTGAAACGCCAACTAGTTCAGTTTTGCTGTTACATACAGTGGAACCACATGCTATTACTGATTTTCCTTGCCAAAATCTAGAACGTCGTTTTATCTGATTGCTTTTTTTGCATATTTTCAGCTAAATATAACAGACTGGAGTAAGTGCCCAATAACCTTCAAAGTGTATCAAACAATGTTTCGAGTTGTGAAAGAATCTGAAAATGTAGACGAACGACAGCACTGTTTTCTAGTACAAACCTCGGGACAAGAATCTCGCTACTTCTCGGTTGAAACTAGGCAAGAACTAT